AACATTATAAATATTTTTTATCTCCTTGTTATATCTCTGTTTTGTTTCTCGCTCTATCTTATTGTATCAAGTTAATTAATTAATATATAATTTTAAAAAGTTAAATTATATATAAAAAATTAATGTATAAAGTTTTAAAATTTATATTTTATAATATAATATAAATTTAAAAAATGTCTATATGTAAATTTATTTATAATATATAAATTTTAAAAATTTTATCTGAAGAAGTTATACTATAATATAATAAAAATAATATAATATAATAAAAATAATAATAATATAATAAAAAATATATAATAAATATAATAATAAACTATAATAATAATATAATAATATAATAAAATAATAAAAATAATAATAAATATATAAATATATAAATAAATATATAAATAATAAAAAATATATAATAATAATAATTTTATTTTGAGTGTATATAATATATTTCAGAAATATTGATGCAATTACGCGAGAATTATATAACGTAATTATGTTCTTGATATGGAATGAATTCAGATATCTGAACATCGCATGTCCTCTTACGTATATCGGACGAATACGAGATCTCCGAGCGATTGAGTCAGTGCGATTTGGATTATCGTAAAATATAATTGCGGCACGACTGTTTACGGCGAATATAAGTATTTCCTTCCGGCGGAACGAAGCTTGCGGACACGGTTGTCCTTGGCGAGTCGAGAGCTCGATGAGTCAACTTCGCTTGACCGTGGGATTGCTTCTTAAGTTTCTCCATTATCGCTTCGCCGACTGAATTTCGTCGTGCTCACTTTTTCGCGCTCTTCAACCGCGCATTTCTCTACTCGTCACGTGTCGTTTTGCCGGCAGTCGCCTATTTTATCGAGTGAACGTATCGTGAAATAGAACAATGCTTTGTAAAAAGCTTCAAGAACGACGGGTGAATGGAATGCGAGAAGCTGGAAAAAATTTATGGCACGTTAATGCAGACTTTTCTCCCTACAAATGCGATATTTTACACTTTCTTGCTCTTTTCCACCGTGCAAAAAACGCGCCGTGTAATTCTAGGACACTGTGTATTTTCCAGCGGCGAGCAAAAGATCTCCCTCCCCGTGAAAGTCTCCGAAAGAAACGATCGGAGCCGCGTTAAAGACGCAGTTCGCGCGTGAAGCGAGCGCGGCGGTGTTGCATAGCATGTTTTACGCACGCTACCTTGAGATAGAGACCCGCATTATGCAGGTCGCGGCTACTTGTTTTCTCCGTGTGTCGTACACGGGTGGAGATTCTCACCCACGCGTTCCCAAGCATACGCAAGCGCGTGTGTTCAACTTATTACGAGGCAGAGGAGATGCGTCTGGTATTTTACGACCGCCTCTACGGATTTTGCACGCATCTTATTATCTCCGGCTTTGAAAGATAGAATCAGTTTTCAGTTTTATTCACCGTGAACGAAAAAGTAAAAAATAATTTTAAAGTAGATAAAAGAAATAACAGATTGCAAAGACAGCCATTCTTTATTAATTATTTGCCATTATTAATTAATTATTACATTTATTAAAAATGAAAAATAGTCACGCGTATAGGATCTGCAAAATTACAGAGACCCGCACTGAGATAAATTTGATTGTACCAACAAGACATATATGATTGAAGGCATTTTGATTAAATCAAATAAGAATTTCTAGTTATCATGATAAGACTCGATTTTTTATAGCTAGAACGTTTAATAGATTTTACTAAGGATTTGATTAGTATTTTCTGGTTGGATCTATAAAATTATTATTATAAATATTATTATTATAAATATTTCTTGTTACATTAATTTCTTTGCTTGCTTCTTAACTTAACTCGTATTCAATATTTGCCATAAAATGTATATAAAGAACTAGTATTAACATTAAATCCAAAGTATATTTTTTTTCTCTTACGAGCAGTAGTGTCAGAAAGAGGACGCTAGCTCTCTGATTGTGTGTTTGAGCTGCATCTTCTTCTTGCATCACTGTTTATCAGTTTAATTTCTAACAAACTAAATTTAAAATAATTTATTCAATAATCTGGATTGAATTTATCCAATAATCTTGTTGAAATTCAGAATATTAAACAGACTTTTGAAATTAGATGGAAAAAATTTTAGATGACTTGGTGCTGGCGAGTTTAGTATTATTAACCAGAAAATTTGGTAAATTTAACAGGAAGAAATTAATCAGATTCATCTGATAATTCCTACAAGAATTCTGGTTCGTCCATTTTCAAACAGACATACTGGTCGAATCTACCAGAATTCTAATTAATGCAACCAGATTTTTTTCTCAGTGCGAGGAAGATGTAAAGTCGAGATGAGCGTTTTTTTACCGATATCTCGCCAAGTGTCGGCGTTCGAGATTCGGCGTCGCGATAACAGGCTGAAGATTAATATTTGCGATATGCATGCGTGCATTCCCGGACGTCGCGCATCCGGTGCATACGAAACGACGAGGACGACGACGACGCGAGAGGAGCGCGAGCGAGAGACCGCGAGGAATGCGCGGAATGCAACGGGGCCCTCGATGATCTCGTGCCGAATACCTTCGGGGCCCGCAGCTCCCGTTTTTCGCGACCCGTCGTCACTCGTCACTTCGTTCCGAGCCGAGGGCGAAGTTCGGCACGTCGATCGCCGAATAACGCGGCGCGTTTTATGTGAAACGTCATCTCGAGGCAAAGCTGCTGGGACAACAGATGTAATAATCGAGTCGCGTAATTTTTTTTTCTATGCGATTGCGACAGTAGAAAGGGAGAAGTGGGGACATCTACGATTTGTGAGAACGAAATAAAAGTTCAAATTATTGGAAAATTTTTGTTTTTAATAAAATAAAATTTCTATGTACATACAGGGTGTTTCTTAATAAGTGCGAAAAATTTGAGGAGACGATTCTTTGTCGAAAATTAAAGGAGATTTTTCATATAAACATATTCCTCCAAAAATGGGAATAAAAATTAGGTTTTTATTTTTTTCTCAAATTTGGAACAAGTTAAAGAAATGAAATTAAGTAGATAGTTTTTATTAGTAAAAAGGTTATTTATTAATATTTATTAATATTTATTATTTGAAAAGGTTATTTATTAATTTATTAATTTTTTCCCGTATGCTATAACGGGAAACTAGCAACCCTTATTCAATTTTTTGTTAGAATTTTTTAATGTTTATATAAAAAACTCCCCTTAATTTCCGATAAAGAATCATCTAAAATTTTTCGCACTTATTAAGAAACACTCTTTATATATGTATATAAAAGAAAAAATAACATATTTTTAATAAATAATATTAATAATTTCTAAAAAATAATATATTTCTAATAAAAAAATGTGTATAATAAATTACTTTGTCTTCTTGAAATTCATAATTGCAACGAGAATGTCCGACTATAAATATTACTAAAAATATATTTTTCAAACTTTATAAACGAAATTTGTGAAAAACTGATACGAAAATAAATAATATAAATAAAATTAAGATAGCACTTCGAGAAGAGTGAATTCATGTCCTCTGCGAAAGGTAGGAGTGAACATGTGGTCGGCTTGATTGTTCGAACGTTTGCCCGGGGTTAAATAATGCGATCCGAACCCTGGAACCGTTGATATCCGGCGCCGGACGTACGCTGGTGCCGCACGCCTTGTTCCGGATACGGTGCGTGTCGTTAGAATAATACGCTATCGGTCGACGCACGCAAATGTCGATTTCCGCGTGCAACTCGCGGGCGGCTGAGGGTTAACAATGCGACTGACCATTCACCGGACGCGGTTCGGACGAACCGGTCAACGGTACACGACCCGCTAATTCGAACCCCGTCGACCGGGATCCCTCCTCCCCCTCGTGCAAGCAGGTGCACCCGACAATGCATGCTCTCGCTGCGCGTTGCGTAGGTGCGTACGTACCGTATCGCCGGCAAGTCGCGCGTTTTGTATGAGGATCTAGAACGAGACCAATTAACGCTCGCTGCCGCGGAAGAGAGCCAGGGGGAGGAGGGAGAGGAAAAGATCCAGACGGCGCCAGTTCGAATACCAGCCAGAAACGGATCCAGGGGTGGGAGATCGCGACGATCGTGGCCTTCCCTTTTGAAAGTTCAATTGCAAGGCGTACAAAAGTCGTCCAGCTTCTTTCGAATTGGGAATGCAATATTCAAATAAACATTGTTTATAATAAATAAATTGGATATATAATAAACACACATATTAAATTTATATATCAATAATTTAATTCTATATTTAATCTCATAACGGGATGAATATAAAAATTGAAATAAAATTGAAAGATACCCTGGAACAAAAATAGAAAACTTATTGTCAATAAAATAATTAATTTTTTTCATCTCATGTATCATTCTTTTCATGAGAGAGAACAACGAGAATTATTTACTTGAGATTAAAGTGCAGAAGAGATTAAATTATAAATGAAAAACCGCCGGAGAGAAACTTTGTTGTGCTTACGTTAATGATAGAAGAGTGAAAATGCGATTTTGTTTTTGAACCTAGGACATTCTAGTAATACCGGCAGTGACGAGCAAGACGGGTATTCTTCCGCAATTTTTAATCTATCCCATCTCTACTCTTTGCTTCTGCCTTGTCGGCCTTGCTATCGTAATTAAGGGTCAATTTAATTAAGAGGGAAGGATAAAAAAAAGTCGGCACGACAGCCACTTCGCAGGATGAATGAACTCATCCCGCGAATATGTAGAACCCTCGGGTATACTTTTGATTCGTGTGTGTGTGTGTGGATATGTGTGTCTGTGTCAAGTGAGAGACGCGCGTTTGCGGAAGGCTCAATGATTCTAATTAGTCGTCGTCTAATTAGTTTGCGCTTGTTTAAAGACACTTAGTTTATTTCTACTTAAGCTGCGTGACAATCTATCCGATTCCTGTTTCTAACTATTCGCAAATAACATAAGATTGTTCCGTAATATTTTACGTGTAACAAGCACTTCGTATTGTATATTATTTTGTAAAATTTCATCATATTTATGTTTTTCTTTTTTATATTTATATGTCAACAGAATGAAGAGATGATCGCAAGTTTGCCAATCAACGGCGGCGGTAGCGGAGGGCCGGTGAGTCGTGTGGGTCGTGGATTGGCCCTTCATAGGTCTAACTCTAGTTTGGAGCTTCCGCATAGTCCGGATCCTGCTTCCCGGGTGCCAGAAACACCTCTCAGGAGAGAATATGGATCTCACGGTACGAGTCGAATTTTCTAGATATTTTCCAAAAAACAAAATCGTAAAAATGTCCACCATTATTTATTCCAAATGGAAAGTAACTTTATACGAGAACGATTTATTTCTTTTTATTGAAATTTTTAATTAAGAAAAAATATCTATATGAAATATAATGATATATTTTGATCTCTTAATTTACCATGACATTTTAATAGTTTCTTTTTATAAAGCTTGTGCTATTTTAATGTACAATAAGTTAGAAGTATTGCATTATTTATAGAAATTAGTCGTTATTTAATAAACACAAAAAATATAAATATTATCAAATTATATTTTATTGCTACTATTTTAGGCTTTAATAGTTTTAAAAACATAAGCAAAATAAAAAGAAAAAAAAATATTTAATATATTTATTATATATTTAATATATTTATTTACATCCATTTTTAAAATTTTTTTTTTAATACAATATTTTTGACCGGTAATCATTACATAAGTTTCGATTTTAACCTATTGTAGGGAGCATCGACGTAGTGGCGCAGTCAATTACAGCCGGCGAGAACTTCTTCGCTATACTGCAGGATTTCCGACCGCCAGAGCAGCGCGGCATCATCACCAGCGATTATCTGCGTCGCGTTCATCAGCAGGACGGAAACCAACCACTGGACGTCGACGAGGTTTGTGGTCCGACCGGCGCCGGATCCAGTCCGAAGTTACGACTGAAGCTGAACAGATTGTGGGGCGGTAAACCACCGCGGGCGATGGAAGAGACGTGCACCAGCCCGATGGTGTCGGCCGACGTAGAGGAGCGTCATCGGAGACGCGCGTTCGCCCACTACGACTGTCAATCGTTGACGGCGAATCTGGGCTACGCCGCGAAACTCCGGGGAATTCTCTTGGCCAGAAGAAGAAACACGGCCACCGGAGCGTCCGCCGCCAGTGCTCTTAGAGCCTCCACCCCCGACGAGACTCCCGAGGAAGATGCCGGTGATGGAAAAGGTGCGATGAAAAAGATAAAGAAATGTCATAAGATAGAAGCTAAAGATCCATCGAGCGATTCGCTTTCTCTTTGGAGGATCTCACTTGTAACTGTTTGCGGTTTCAGGCAATGATCTATTAGAGCCGTGTCCCTTCTTTCGCAATGAGATCGGCGGCGAGGGAGAACGCGAGGTTGGTCTCACTCGTTGCTCCCATGGCAATGGAATTCACAGACCGCCGTTGTCTTATGGTGTTTCCGTCCTGGAACCGTCGCCCGGCGAGACCCTATGGAAGCACACTTGTCCGTTGCAGAAACGACCCCTGCCCATCGAGAGCGTTGATGAGGGGGCTCATTATTATCGACGATACTTCCTCGGTAAGCGAATCAAGATACATAAATCTTTTGTTGCATTGCATCAAGAATTTTCGCCGCGTTAATAATTGCATACTGCATGCATTACACAAAATTAATGTAATTATCTAACTTTTATTTTTTTTAAATATAAAGCTAATAAACTAAAATTGATAATTTTTTATCTAAACATAGAGTTCATACTATAAATCTTTAGAAATTAAATAAAAAGATTCACAAACATTAATGTGAAAAATTTTGCAAAGCTTTTGATCACTTGTTTAAGCACAATGTAAAGAGAAGGAAATATTCTGCCGCAGGACGAGAGCATCAGAACTGGTTCGGAATGGAGGAACAGTTGGGACCGGTGGCCATCAGCATTCGCAAGGACGTCAATCAGTATCGCGTGATCGTGCGCACATCAGAGTTACTGACGTTGCGCGGTTCCGTGCCCGAGGAAGCTCTCGGCATCAGGCCACAAGGCCGACCGCCTACGAGGGAGCTCTTGGAGTTGGTTGCGCCGGAAGTGCAGATGGGTTGCCTGAGGCTTGGCACGCCTGCCGCTGAGGAAGCGCTAGCCAGATTGGACGAGCAGGGATTATCTAGCAGATACAAAGTCGGCGTCCTGTATTGTCGGTCCGGCCAAAGGACCGAGGAAGAGATGTATAACAATCAACACGCCGGTCCGGCCTTCCTGGAATTCTTAGACACTATCGGTACGTTATTCTTCTTGCAACATGTTTTATACAATATTTGAAGTCAATGTAATGTCTCAAAAAATTATAGTGAAGAATACTAGAGTTTTTGCTGACGCTAGAAATTTAAAACATATGCTCTCGGTGAATAAGAAATTATTGAAGATATATTAAAGAGATATATGAAGAATATGTGAAGTAATGAATTTTATCTATTATTTATAAATGTAAAATGTGAAGGATATTTATGATTTTATTTTAGCAGAAACTCTATCTTCGCTTTTTGACGAGAGCATCTGTTTACTTTTACTAATTCGAATCATGTTAAAAAATTGCTGTTTTAATTCAGAGTGATTTCCACTTATTATTTTCTATTAGGACATATTTCTTAGCAATAAGAATGTTTTTATAGAAGATATACGCATTAACAAGCGAGTTAACAAAGTTTAATGAACCGGAAACCTCTCTTCGTAAGTCGATGAAATTATTCTCTCGTAAACATCGAATAAAAGTAAGAGAGAAGATTTATACATGATCTTATACGTGATTCTCACTGATGCTTCACGGATAGTTTGAGACGTTTTATCGCTGATTAACCGATTCAATGTTTCGAAATGATTTTATCTAATGTACTTCGTAAAGTTAATCATCCGCGAACGCGTGCACGTAATTTCGCGGCCGGACATCGCAAATCATTGCCTTGGTTATCCCTATTAACAGGTTACTGTTGTTACTTTCTAAAAGAGAAACGCGTGTTCTATTTTTTTCAAGTATTGTTGCTTTATGCGCCGCTTCCGTAGGCGTCAAATTGATGGTTATCTCGATATTTAATTTGTGGAACGCAAACACGCGTTCCTGCGTAATCTTCAAAATAAAGAAAACAACTCGAAGATAGACTTATATAACATGTTCTTTCTTAAGGATGTTTTGTATGTACAATTCCAGCAAAAAGTAGCTGAAAATTAATATTGACGAATATCCACTTTTAGTATATTTTGAGTATGAGAAATTGCATGGAATATTACAATTTGATCTTACAGTGCAGAGATGTATTTTTTAATTTTTATTACGTTTTTACTGAAATATTCCGAATTTTGTTAATCGAAATGATTACTTTGTTAATCGAAATGATTACACTTTTGGCAGAGAATTTCGCCTTGTGTCAGATACATGGCTAATTTCATTGAATTATATTTAATATTAATCATTAATCATTATTAAGATTTAATAAACAAAAATGATTTTGTCATCTTTAAAAAATGATTAATAAACAAAAATGATTAATATCTTAATATATTTAATATTAATCATTAATCAATATTAATTATCTTTTTAACCAGTTACTTGTATAATATTATTTGACGAAATATTTCCTCTGTATCTAAACTTTTGCAAATTTTAAACAAATTCTGAATATTATTTCTATGTGTTTTTGTCATTTGAATCGACGTGGTTATACGTTTCCCATAAGAACACATGTTAATTCGATGCAAATTAAAATCCTTATAACTTGTGAACGCTTTAGTGAATCGATTTAAAAATTGTACTGAAAGATTGTAAACATATGTAAAGCCATTCTGTTCAATTTTCATTAAATTCTCAATATTTTGAAAATATTACAAAACATCCTTAAGAGACTAACAAATTCCAATGTTGTAGAGTTTTGACATTTCAGTGAATCATATGTTCCAACATAAACAAAAATTTAATATTTCAATTAATCGTCACGAAAAAAGATTTCATGCATTAAAAATATGTAAAGACATTCTGTACAATTTTCATTAAATTCTCAATATTTTAAAAATAGTACAAAACATCCTTAAATAATGATATATTCTTTTATATTTTCCCTCGAAAAGATATGATCGCGTTGTTTCCAAGAAACATTCCTCTAACATAGTAATTATCCATGACTAAACCGCGAAAAGCAAAATTATGTCGTTTAATGTCGCGAATGCAAGCACTGGAGGAAGTCGAAGACGTAACGAGACGGTCGACAATTCCTGGGCCGCATGCCGGGCAATTGAGATAATTGCGAGTTTTTCATGTGACAGGCCAAAGAATAAGACTGCGAGGATTCGAGGGTTACAAGGCCGGGCTGGACACCAGAACCGACTCGACGGGTACGCACGCAGTAGCGGCGACGCATCGCGGAACGGAAGTCACCTTTCACGTGTCCACCATGCTACCCTTCACGCCTAATAACCGGCAACAGCTGCTGAGGAAGAGGCACATCGGAAATGACATAGTCACGATAGTATTTCAGGTACAGTTCCACATAACATCGTAAATTAAAGTCGCGCTATTACGCAATCGTGTAATGAGCGCGAATATGACGCACAGCTCTTGACGACGGACTAGATTTATTGTTGCAACCTGTTCGCACACTGGGAGCAGCGCATGAGACATCGCAATTATGTTTGAGAATGAATCATTATTTAATTTTGCCTTGCAATCAGATTCTGAATTGCTTACGTCAGAATTTAAGAAATAATTTATAGATGTATCGATGACGTCCTTGATTAAATGAATCAAACGAGTATATTGAAGTTATATCTATTGCATGATAAAAGCTTAATAATCTTGTAATTGCTGCGTATTTTTAGGAACCTGGTGCATTACCATTCAGTCCACGAAGGATACGCTCTCAATTTCAACACGTATTTATCATTGTGCGAGCCATAAATCCTTGCACCGATAATACGCAGTACAGCGTGGCGGTGTCCAGGAGCAAAGAAGTGCCCATCTTCGGACCACCTGTTCCGCAGGGTGCTACGTTCCCTAAAGGAAAGACTTTCGTGGATTTTATTCTGGCCAAGGTCATAAACGCCGAAAATGCGGCTCACAGGTAGAATGTCGTGTCTTCTTCGGTTTTTATACGTCGGTAAAATTAATCGAGCTGAATCTATACCTTTCCTCAGGTCTGAAAAATTCGCCACGATGGCTACGAGAACGAGACAGGAATATCTGAAGGACCTGGCTACAAACTATACTGGCACTACAGTTGTCGACACCGGTCAAAAATTTTGTACGTCACATTCTTTTAAAAAATTCGTTTTTTTTTTATAATAATAGAATAATAGAATATTTATACATTTTTAATTATATATGTTATTAAACATTTTTATGCGATTATATATGTTATTAAACATTTTTATGCGATTTATTTTCCAAACAATAAGCTAATTGTTTTATATATACAAATAATGATTAATTAGATTAATTATAATTTAATTAAAATTAGATTAAATCGTAAAATCGTTGCAATAGCATTTCTGAGATATATATTATTATTTCTTTTTTTTTTTGCGAAGCAGCGATGCTTTCCTTCAGCAGTAAGAAGAAGACAACGGTACGACCGAGACTTTCCTGCGACGCATCTCAGCGCGGCGCGATTTGCTGGCAGGTCATACTCGAGGATAGCAATCAGAACACAGATTGTTACTTAGGTATAAGCATAGACACCATCGTACTGATTGAGGAGCATTCCAGGCAGATAGTATTTGTCACTCCGTGCGTGAACGTGCTCGGATGGCACGCTCAAACAAACAGGTAATCATCTTTCAGTTTTTTTAATCTTCAAATTAATATTTTCATGCGCGTGCACGCACACACATATATTATTTTTGAGACTTAACTTTTTTGATGTCAATAGAAAATTAAGTCCTTCAACGTTCAATCGCAATTAAATTCTGAAATCTAAATCGATTGTTAAACGCGCAACCGCCACTTACTTGCTTTACTGCGTTATTCAAGATCAGTTTATCGTAAGAACCACTTGCGGACGATTGGAAATCGAACGACTGATTGCGCTCTAACATTTTTGCTTTGCTCCGCGTCTCAGTTTAAGATTGTATCATCATCAAGGCGAATGCATCACCATACACGTACGCGGTGATTACGGCGAGAGGGACGAGTTAATGGAAATTGTGGCTCGGCTGCGCGCCGTAACTCAAGGTGCACCGGCCTCGGAATTGTCTTTGAAGAGAAACAGCCTTGGACAATTGGGCTTCCATGTTCAACCCGACGGTGTTGTGACGCAAGTCGAAAGTATGGGGTTGTCGTGGCAGGCGGGTCTAAGACAAGCCTCCAGGCTGGTCGAGATTTGCAAGGTGGCCGTATCGACCTTGAGTCACGATCAGATGGTTGATCTGCTGAAAACCAGCGCCCAGGTTACCGTCACTGTAATACCGCCAACCAACGACGGAAATCCGCGAAGGTATAGAATCTTGAATATTATATTCCCTTAATTAATTAATAGATTAATTATAAATCACATTTGGGTTGAAATTAATTTAATAAACCTAACCCGATGTAAATGTCCTTGTATTTTTATTTTTTCTATAAGTTTAAATCTCGCACAACTTTTAGTTAAAATTTTAAATAATCAAATTGCATTAAAATAGAACCGCGAGAAATTTTTTTCTTTAACTTCAATTACCGAAGATATTAAATAGTTTCTGTAATTCTATTTTCTACACGATAGAGGCTGCACGTTGCAAAACTGCCATTATCTGTCGAATAATTACGAAGGAGATTATGAGAACGTGACAAGCGCAGATAATACGCCGAGTCAGCAAACGGCGATGTCGCATCAACGGCGATACGATCGATCGTTCAGCCCACCACGATCGAGTAATAGCTCCGGGTACGGTACTGGATCAAGCTCTAGATCGTTCAACGATCCGCGGTTTCCGTTGGAGGGTACAATGACTAGCAGCAGTAGTGGACACAGTAGTGCCGATGATCGTTGGTGAGTGATTAAAAATCAGAGATCACATTAATCCTTCGCGATTTATCTAACATTAACAACAAATTGTTCCTTTTCGAACTGTCGATCGTTGAACGTGTAAAGTGCATGAGATATCTTCATCAAACTCAATCAATAATAGATGAAGATTAGATTAGAAAATGAATCGGAAGAAACAAGGTATTTATTTTTCTAGGTACGAGCTTCTAGAACCGCAAGATCAAGACGGCAATCATCGCACGGATGGTACGCCGCCTCCGTTACCAGCACGACAAAACTATCAAATGGTGACACCCAGCAAGTCTAGCCAGAAGAAGGACAAGTCTCATTATGCTAGCGCCAAACAGCTCGCGGATAGCTCAAAGCATCGCGATCATAATCATGAGCACTATATAAAAGAGAGCAATTATGTATCGTCGAAAATGATTCAAGACAATGCGCGTCATGAGAATTATCAGCGGCAGTTAGATAATGCGCATCGTGGTCAAGATCACGTGACGACGAATTACGTGAAATTGCAAAAGGAACGATACGAGATCAAACAAGAAAATTTATATGCTTCTCAGAGAGAGCTCCATAAGAATGATGCACAGCATCATGGTGGCCATCAGAAGCTAAGTGTATCGAATTCACTGCCATTGACACACAATGCTGTTTACAGCCTGCCAAAATCAGGCAGCAACAACAATCTTGGCAGGTACAATGAATACGAACAATCTGGCGGCAAGTACGATTACGAGACACCTACAAAAGTGGACAGAAGTTCCAAATACGAGATGCAGGAAGAAAAAATGATTGAGCGACCAGCAGCCAAGTATGAGCACGATATACGAGGATGTCACGAAAAGAGAATCGGCTATGAATATTCGGAGGATATTTATGACAAGAGAAACAGCAAGTACGATCTAGAGTTGGCCAAATACGAGATGGAGTGTCAGCACAGTAACAATGAAAGGAAACACAACGATAGCAACAACGAGCATAACCGAGAGTCCACAAAGTACGAGATGTCGCATGATTTCAAAGTAGGCGAGAAAGTTACCTGCCTAAAGACTAGCATATCAGAGCGACCGGTGCATAAGGTAAACGTTGAATACCGACAATCGAAGGATTTTCCAGCGAGTCTGCCACCGGAAGTTAGAATATCAGATGTCAATTGTCCGGAAGTAGCCGCGCTGCCCAGCGAGGACGAGCTGTCGAACGGCTCTGGCAGCGTATCACCCAGGCTACGACGGGCCAACAAACATCGCGGCGGCAATCGCACTCCGTCTAGTGGCAGCTCCAGAAATCAGAGTCCTCGACCAAAACCAGGGATGAGAAATTCGCACAGAAATTCTGCGAATTTGACATCCAGCACGTTGCAGGAAGACCTCATGAGACTGATTAATCCCGATTACATTGCTGATGATAGCCAAATCGTTAATAATAATCTCGTAAATAGCGTGATGAACCCGAATCAAAATTCGAACAAGATAAACAATAATATGCTGGAGATTCAAAACAGATGTAGATCCAGGGAAAATTTGTGCGGCAATAGCTCATCTACCTTGAGCGTCTTGCCTGCGAATGGACAAGAAAATGGTAACAATGGATCCGAAGTGATCTTGACAATGGCCAGACCAGCCACAGTAATCTCCAACGCCAGCACTGCCTCAAGCCCTGCACCGAGCGAGAATAAATTGTCGAAAGAGGAAAGGTATGGAAAATTAGAGACTTAATAAAAATAATCTTACACAATACATATATATTAAAATGGTGAAATAAAATAGATAACTTGTAGTGATTATTTGTTTTATAATGTAAACATTTTTCTTTAGATTATCACCTCGTGTTACAAAGCCACTTCATCCGATCTCGAAACAGCACAATAATCTGACGCCGATCAAAGACACGAAAAATCACAACGATGCGAATGTGGATTGTTGGAAGAATCAACATGCAGATTCCAATAGATCGATGAAGCAACATCCTCAAGAATGGCCCGATGATAGACTCATTGATGGATGCAATGCAAATACGTAAGTAATATAATGTAAAGATATAAAATGACACGATGAACGCGATTAATGATAATATTAACACTTGTGCAGGAATTCTGTTTCGGACTTGCAATCTCATCTATCCACTCTCGAGTTGAGAATGGCGAGAGAGACGCGTCTGCGATTGTCATTGGAAGACGAAGTGCGTCGATTGCGCGATGAAAATCGACGTTTACAAGAGTCCGAGAATCTACGACTCTCTTTGGAAGATGAGAACCGGCGTCTGAAGGACGAGAATCATGCAGCCGCGCAGCAACTTCGGCGTTTCACGGAATGGTTCTTTCAAACGATGGACCATCAATAATCAGTATAAAGATAAATTTAGGATGTCTTATTGTCCAATGATTATTTCAAACGATGAATCATCAATAAGCTATATTCTTGTTTCATTTCTAGTATCATAGAAATTATTTACAGAGAACAAAGTTTGCCTGTCTCTTTTTTTATTCAATTATTTCGATTGCATTTATTTCTACGATTTGTCGCATTGCTCGAATCGGAGCATAATTTTTGAAAGTGCAGTATTAACACGAACCGGATATGTAGATGTCATAGTAAATGGATCGGAGACAATCGTAAGGGATTGCGAATGAACATAAACAGCGTAAATAATGGTATCGTTTGCAACCTTCGATAGTCTTTGATATTTTGTATTATATAGATTCGTTAAGTTTTATTCGATTGTAAAGTATATAAGTTACCATCGTACTATTTTCTTGATCGAAGGATTAATACGTTGCAACTAAGCTATCTATTTAGATCATCTTTCCCAAAACTAATTACTGTGCATCTGGATCGATCTTTAAGAGGACAGTGCACGTTAAAAATATATCAACGTTTGAGTTTTACAGAAACGACCAAAAGACCAAATATTATTAGAAAAGCTAAGGGCTATTATTTTAATTCTGTAATTTATTACGCCTTTTATATCAGTCACTTAGAGTATTAATGTAAGAATTTCGCACGTGCTAAAGCACGTCCACGAGCGCGAGACGCTCGTTGCGTCTCCGTCACGAATTTTTTCTTTTTAATAAGCGACAAAAGCATGATTCCAACACAAAATGTACAAAATCGATATTCATGAAAAAAACGTAAATCAATCAATAAAGAGAAATATACTTCAATAACAATCTAATTCTTTGAAAAGGATCAAACATAGGATATATTTTTGACATAAAAACGCTTAAGAGCGCTTTACATAACACATGATATGATATGATATATAAGGTAAATGACTATAACTTCGTCAAGCTTTCTTAAAATTAAATAAATTAAGCAATCTCGCGATTTGAAACCGATGTTCAAATTATTTCAAATCGGGAAATATAGTCGATATACGCGAGATTGTTTAATTTATTTAATTTTAAGAAGGCTTGACGAAATTATGTCCGCTGACGAAGTTATAGCCATTCGCCTTATATATGTGTATATAAGAAATAGATCGAACAAGGATAGAGAATTGAACTATTGCCAGCAGTTAGAATAAAATAGTTTATTGTAATCCACAGAAAAAAAACAAGACATTTCCATGATGCCTTAAGATCTGTCTGTCTCACTGTTACTGTCAGTTTAACAATTAGCTGCGGTTACACTCCCTTCTGCTCGAGACCGCGAGGACGTCTCCATATCGCGATATCGACAACAGTCCTTAATACTCGATACTACCGGATCTATAGCTAGGATCCGGCCGACTTAGGATCGGATCGGATTATGCGTTTGGTATCCTTATAGATAAAAAGCTAGGCTCGCTGCCAGGCGATATCGCGATCCGGTGATTTATCCGGCTGGTTATCGCTATCCCATTGTGTCGCGATACATTTATCCTCCTGTTCGCATTACGAAAGAATAAATCGCGTGTTCCTTCCTTCTTTCGTTCTTCTCTTCTCTGTTATTTTATGACGCCCGTGGTTCCGGACAATCGATCTCGATCGCAATTATCGTTATCGGTGTTATCCAGAGACAAGCAAAATATTACTCCATTCTTGCGAGCGTCATGTCTCGTCATGTTGTTCGTATCTGACGGTCTATTATTTATGCGTTAAATCTGTATGTGTATGCATAATTAGTTCGCTTCTAATCTCTAGATCTATGTATACTGGTGTCCAAGGACATCGCGATTACTGCGCCTTCTGAGAGAAAAGTGATTATGCGAGAGAATATTTGACTGCTTATAATCGAAACACTGTGAAGTAATATTTTACACAGCTCTGCATATGTGTATAACGCTTATATCACCGAGGCTTCTCTTCGGTTTTGTTCGCTTAAGTACATGAGAAGTTATGCCTAGCAAGTGTAATTTACTCGTAGATGTAGATGTTTAAAACACTTGGACTTAGTTTTATACTCTAGTGTAGCATTTTTTTTTTCTCTATACAACTCTAATTAACATATCCCCACATGGAAGTACATCTTCGTTACGAAATTCTGAATGAGTTCATCAGCGTGAATAAACCTCGAAAACGTGAAGCACTTTACGGACGCAGAACGTAATCGGCGTAAAATGCTGCAGACGTTAAAGAAGTGCTTTAATAAAACTTAACCGCGTTAAATGCGCAAAGAATCTAAACACGTAATGGGTCATTCGTTGCAAGAGCTCTTCTTAACTGGCAAAACGTCGCGCGTCATTCATCTGTCATGGAAATTAATGAAACACGATGAGTCGAGCTAAAGCGGAAGAGATGTTCCGACAGAGAACTTTGAGATTTCCACAATTGCGTTTCCTCGGTTAAACTCGTGTGTCTGAGTAAGCCAAACAACACGTTAATCCGAGAAACATTTGAAAGACATCTCTAGAAGAAGACGTTTACAAAAATTTAGAGTGTCTTTACAAATGTCTTTCGAATATTTCTATTAAACTCGGAAGTCTTGTCATGTCGTGTACGCCTGAAGTGCCAATCTCGTGCACCCAAAGCAATGAACAATGAGGTTCTTATTAAATATATCTCGTAGTTATACATATAGTTAAACGATAGTCGCGTTTAAGATTCCTTCTCGTACTAGAAGAGGCTCGCTTATGAATACGCGTCAGTGTCAAGGAAACGATAGCTACAAGCGGAATGAGTTGCGCATGACAAAAAGATTGATCGATCCTATAAAGCGCTCGTAAGGAGACTAACAGCGTAGCTAAGCACGTGTCAGGCTATGAATCATGCACGTTCAGCAAGCGGGCATTATGGCACACAAGGATAAATAAAGATATCGGATGGATTGAATCAAGAGCACCGGTTCTTACATTACGAGGAGCAGAAACGCACAAGTGTTGAGATTATGTAACGAAAAGTCTTATCGAGTAAAGAAATCACAAAATGAGTGCAGCTACGATATATAGAATATTTTAGAGGAAATTCTCTTATGATACAAAATGTTAGATTTTATACATAATCTTTGCGCAACTAGTTTCATTTGATTTTGTCGGAAACTTGTTTTATACCTTTACACGTTATATACGCTTATTCGGTTGTAATAACATGATTAAATCATCAAATCTACAATTATAGGTCATTTAACAGAATTTTGACGACGAAAAATTCTCATTGCTAATATATAATTAAATATAAATGGTAATAAATATAAATATAAATGTTAATTAATTTAACAAAATATGCTCTGATAGAATCTTATATATAAAATGAATCTTGTTATAAATAATTCCCATTGGCCATTTCAATGATTTCATCGCGATAAAAAGCGAAGCGACTTCGAGAAGAGAACGTACTTAAAAAAAAAAAAAGAGAAAGAGAGAAATATAATATATGGCGGATACTACTTTCTATTTACGGTAATACGGCATCAAGTTGGAAGTAAAAAGGGCACAGCATATAAGAAAGACGGATATAAAGACGGAGATTAATCTACCGCGTACAGTTTTCCACATTCTACAAGATGTTTCACTTTCAATATGGTGAACATTTTTCACGAATTTAAATCGATTTTTCGACAATTTTTCACGAGAAATCTACTTTTGTAAAAATTATTGTATTAAATATTAAAAGAATTAAATTCAGAGATTCAAATTTCGTAAAATCACTCATCAATTGATCGTCGAAAAATTATAAAATGCTTCGCAAATTTCGCTAACGTAATCTTCCAGAAGAATACTTGTCATTGAAACTTGCTGGGAGAATGAAACATCTTGTATTTCGCAATTCCGAGCAATCGTTTACGAACGAAGAAGAAGACGCGACAGAGAGGATCGCTCATGAATATCATGACGATCTTATCTGCCAAGTTTCGTAATCGTCTCATTTTCTCGGTTGCTCAAAGTCGCCATTCGTTTCATTCGCACGCAAGATTTGCCTGGTTCGTACGATTGGATTCGGCCGCGCAATCCGGCCGAAAATTCCGGTGAAAGTCTACGAAAAGTATAATGCTTCACGATAAGTCCGCCGATCATGCGGTTGCCATCGGGACGTTCCAGCGCGAATATTACATTCTGATTTTCTACGCAAACATTACCGATAATATGTCGATTCGGAGGGCGCGTCCTCCGTTAAATACAAAAATACTGTTCTGATGCACCATATCTTCTCACCTATTATCCCTACCATTATGCACATTATAATCCCTGTAGTCTTTAACGCTCCGTTATCGTGGACGAGGAAAGAATACTAACGCACGTAAGAATACAACGGGTATGTGTGTGTTTGTGAGAAAAAAGAAAAATTATCGCAAAAGTATCGTCGAACTGCGAGAAGCTCATCCATTCTCTTTGTTTTTTCACAAAGCATGGTTCATTTCCGCACAGAGAAAAATATATACTGTATTCAAGTAAATATTATTTATTTTAAGCATATCATAAGTTTGTATATCCGCAAATATATTCTAAATTCACCACAAGCATTAAATTTAATTGAATATATTTTGAATTTTAGTAAGTGCAGTATTTTAATCAAAAATATTAAATTAAGACAAAAATTTGGTTTAGTTACTATATTAAAAAAGTTTGATTTTTCTTTGATACAACTTTACAATATTCTTGAAGAGAAAATAATTTCTTCTTTTGAGTACAGGATAAATGAGATTTTCTAACACTTGTGATGAGTATAATTTAAGACTATTATCAAGAATATATTCTTTATTAAAGAAAACTATTACGTAAAAAAAGAAAAATAAATTGAGTAATCGCTTTTCTTGATAGTAGAATAATATTTTTCTCTGTGCGGAGAGTCATATCGCGCGATTTTTTCTATTTCAAACCTGGTTGCACCAACGTTGGTTTAATAAATACTAAATTTCCTGCCAAATATTATCATAACTTTGACAATCGCCAGTTCAGAGTAGTGATATATATGCATCAATTATAATAATTTAAAAACTGTAAAAAACTGTATTCTACAAAAAGTCAACAAAGTAATTCCTCCAGACAGTAGTCTCCCGTTGAGAACTACTGTTTCTTGCAATTGCCCTTGAGATAATTATGCATTAAATTTCCAGCAATGTGAGCTATGTAGATTCAACTTTCCTGGAAAGAAGCCCACTGTTAATTGAACCATCGTCGGTGCAACTCAGCAACTCGATAGGCGCCAAGAGAGACGATATATATGACGCTATACATTAAGAAAAAGAGACTATAACGCTATAGCACAGCGTTAATAATAAAAAAAGGAGCGAAGATGCCTTTAACGAAAACGATCGTCGATGTACAACATCGTTCTTCAGAAGAATCTTGCGTGAATTTTGGTTTGCGCGCGTCGGGCAACGGACTGTCAACTGCGTATTCCATGTTCCTTGATTAACATACATAACTACGGTCGTTTAATTAATTTTTTTTTTTATAGTCGCGGCGCGGCGTGAAGCAAAATCCCGTCCCTTACCGCGCCGTTCGTTTCTTTCATATAAACTACGGTTATTAAATCATATAATTACATATATATATACTTTGTGTTGTGTTTTATATATATATATATAATATAATATATGTATATAGTATATATTCAGCATCACAGTAAGATAGCGCCCTTCATTATTAAGTTATCGTCGATCAGCTCGGACCGTTTATATTTTCATTCCTGTCAACAACATAGTCTACAACAATCCGCTTAAACATTGTCAAAGACTCCTCGAGTTTTTACGTAGTGTGAACAGGTGACGAAGACATCCATCACCCGCGAAAATCCGAGAGAGTAACGGGAGAGTATTAATTAAATGTCGTATATAACTCGTAATAATAGCCTAAGAACTGGCTACCAGTTTTTTTTTTTTTTTTTCGCGATTAATAAAACGTGATCGCAACGCGAGTCGCCGTTCTATTGTTTCAATTACGTCAGATTCACAAACGAATGATGGACAAATCATGGACGTAGTATACATGGTCAAAAGAGTGGAGCCAACATTTAGAAAAACACAGATAACTTTGCGCAGATGAATTGCAAAAAAAAAAGAAAGAGAGGAAACGAGCCCCTCTATGCTCTCTCTCTCTCTTTCTAGATATTGGCTTCACTCAATTAGACGGCAAAAGGGCATTCAGAGTCCATGTATTAACGTCCATGGGACAAACGAATCTCTAGAGCACGCGAATGAGAGCGCCACAAACAGGTCTCAGTTCTCATCGTCGGACAAGTGTACGCGTTCTTACACTAAGAAGGAAGAGAGATTGATGAAACGACGCGCAATCTGCGATACTGACTGATCTGTGATCGCGCACGCTTCTATCTTTTTTTTTTCACGCCAAGTAAACTCGCGATGTCATCTCGCATTCGGACGATTTCAGATTCAAAGATGACGCACTGTCTAACGCACTGTCATTCCGCCCCTATCGAGAAACAGTAAAATAGAGAGGTCCTTAGAAATATACATAGTCTTACAATTATATACTCTGAAAATAAATAGTTATAAAAATAAGCGAGAATTTTATGCTTAAAATACCTTAAGGTAAGAACTTAATTAGTTTGCACCACATACGGAGTGGAATGTGTTTTCCTTTCTAGAACGTACAAGCGTAATTCTAACAGAAGTTCAACTACTACCAAGTGTAAAAAACATTAACGGCAACTTGTCAATGATAATTATCGAGTAGTGCAATAGCTCAAATAGAAAAAAAAAACGTGAATCAATAAATAAGAGTGCAACAAGAGATTACAGACAAATATGACAAAGTGACGATCACCGAGAGAACTGGTCGGCGGCATCGTCGACTAATATAATTCGTAAGAATAAATAACTGTGCTCCAAAAAGATTGGTTTACCCGCGGAGACAGATTAGGTACAATATTCGATTCTATCTTTCTCCCTCACCTTCTTCTTCCCTCTTTTCCCCTACCATCCCCTTACATCGCAAGTCACAGCTCTACGCACTGTGGAAGAATCAAGAGTGATATTTACACGCAAAATATTCGAATCGTTGACGATCGCGAGACAGCTCGCGATCTCTCGTCCGTTAACTTAAAGCGGGGAAAACTTTTTTGTACTTTTCTACAAATTTTTCTCTCCGTGCCTCTACTTGACACGCTATATATATATCTAACGGCGATAGATCCCCGACGGTAACGTAAACGTTCGCCTCGCAAGTACCCGCGGTGTCGTTGCAAAACGAGAGGAGCACCGTGGAGGGCTTCGTTCAAATCAAACGGCACGAAATTCATCACGACGCTCTCGAGAGTCGAGATTTCGGAGGAGTCCGAGGACGATTCGCGTCCCACAGAGATACATCGGCGGAGAACACCGAGAGCGAGGAGAGTCGGTGTATACCTTAATGACTGTTTTGACAGCGAACCACGCTGGATGGCCGGCCATTGCGTCTCGCATCTGTTCGAGCTCGCCGAGGACGGGGAGTCGACCCCGTCAAGTGTGCTGGCACTTTCAATATTTCACTATACCGAAACGTCGGTCGAAGATCTTATACTATTCACGGCGCGTCCTCTTGGGACGTTGACTGACTCCAACGTCATCGCTGCCGCGCGACTTCTTACCGATTTGTACCTGACTCTGCGCCGTCAGTTGCAACGAGATCGCGTGGGTGTTGAGTTTCTCCGCCAACAGGAGATCTTTGAGACCCTTCATCTTTTGACTGTACAGCGTTATCTTCGGCTTCTCGTTCTCCGAGTCGATCTTTACTTCGGGCTCGACGTGCAGCTTCTCCTGAGAGGTGGAAGGCGCCGGTGGCAATGTGTCGTCCGGTGGCGCGACGAACGGCTCGCCCCCGCCCTGCAGCAGGTAATCTCTGTTAAGTATCTTCTCGCTGCAGGCTGCCGTCAGGGCTTGAATACTAGGATGCGTCGATGCCGAATTAGAGGGCACTTTGGACTCTAGACTCTTGATTAGATCTCGCGCCGCGTTACCCCGTTCCTTGGTCTTGCAGTAATTGTTGTTGTTGTTGTTGAGCGTCTCCTCGGGACTCGTCTCCCTCTTTTGCGCCTCTTCCTTTTGTTTGCTCTCCGTTTCGTAGCATTCTATGACGACCTGTGCGCGTATACTGGCATCGAACTTTGAAATTGTGTTTACCAGCGGCCGAGCCCAACCTATGTGCAGCACAGGAGTGTTGGCGCCCTCCTCCCATTGGCAAATACCGTCGTAAAATCTCAACAGGTACGCGAAGCAACGTGGTTGCCGCAGCAAGCGCTCATCGACGCGTACCGTATGTGGTATCAATTCGTTGGCGATCTCTAACAGTTCCTTATATATCTCTCCGTCGTCCCGGGAATAATCATATCTAAATTTGTAATAAACACATATCAATAAAGCAATACATAATATATATATTCACTGTCACTGACATGTTCAAAGGTATACATCTGATTGCGGCTAATGTGTTTTAAACATTTAAGCAAAAAAACTAGGAAGAAAATCAGATACTTACTTTCGCAGAACATCGGCGCCATCAGCCCATGATGCAAATGCATTCACATATAATTTGTGCCGATATAGATACCCTCCTTGATAAGTGTACGGATAGACATGCGCGTTTGCGTAAAATTTTCTCGCTGATCTTACAGCCTCCTGTAGAAATATTACGTTTTAGAATGTGAAGAAAAAGTTTACTTACTCAATATCTAAGTATAATAAACCTGAAAAAGATTTATCGGTGGTGGTCTCCCTGGTGTAGGCGCAGCCTCCTCCAATTCAGCGAGATTACCCAATGCCATAGGATATTTCGCTAAATGACCCAAGTCATACAGCAACCACAATAGTTCTTGCTGGACCAATCCCACTTCGACCGCATCAGTAGTTGCGTTTAGACTAGGGTTGATGGCTGATACTATAGTAGCCACTTCCAGAGCACGATTGCACACCATTGCTTGACCGTTTAAGTATAACCATGATCGAGATGCTATACCAGGCTCCACTGGCTGTCCACGTTTATCCTCGTTTCCCTTACCTGGTACAAATTATAAATGCTGCGTTTAAATGCTCTTAAATTTAAAATTAGAAGAGATGTAGAATCTAACAAAAAGAAATACCTTGTGCTCTTTCAAGGCTCTATATATAACGTACCATGCCATGTGACTTCTGCTGTCTCCGTTCCATCCTCTCCGTACACAACCCATGCGTGATCCTCCGACATGGCGAGATGCACATCCTTGAATCCCAAGACCTGACACCCAGCCACCACAGCGAAGGCGACTCCGTAACAGTCCAGCTTGTTCGCAGTCAAGTAACTGTAGAGACTCTGCAGATGCGCGCGGTCCTTGTAGTAGCTCCTCGTAAGCGAGTTCCATATCACGTCCGACACCTTCTTGACGAGCTCTCTGGTAGCGTACTTGGTGTCGTAGACGGTAAGATCGACGGCGCCCTTGATCACCGCGTGAAACTTATCGTAGAGCGCCTCGGCGATGTGATACTCCACGGCCGGCAGCATCGGTTCGTCGTAGACGGTGTTCTCCTGCGCGGCGAAGACGCGGTTGCACGTCAGCGAGTTCTCGACCGCGCCGACGAGGATCGACAGCAACGCGAGATCCGGCTCGGCGCTGTTCTCCAACTGATTCTTGAAGATCTCCACGATCGCGGGGATGCTCCGGATCGGGAACAGGGCCCTGTCCCTGTCATGAAAGCCCGCCATGTCGCGTAAAAGGCCCGCCGATAACTGGGAGACGGCTGGGGACGGCACGCACTCGCGCAAACGACGGTGGCGGCCGAGTCGTCGAGATCTACGACGCCCGAGTCAGGCCCGTCATAGCCGGGGCTCTATCCCGCCTCGGCCGGCGGCGGCTTCTGACAGAGATCGCGCGCGCAGAGGATACGCAACGGACGGTGGTGCCCCACGTCGTGGCCGCCGACTCGTCGTCGGTCAACGCGCGCGCGTTACTCCGATCCGCCAGTGAACGCTGCCCGCGATGCGCGGTTCCCTCGCATCTCCGCACGCACGACAAAAGCCGCGGCGACTGCTGCTGCTGCCCGTTGCCCGCTGCCGCCGCCGCTGCTGCTCCCCCCTCCCTTCCCTCTCGCCCGCCCGCGCCCGCTGTCACTCACTCCCTCTCGCTCCCTCGCTCGCTCTCTCGCTCGCTCCCTCTCGCTCTCGCTCTCTCTCCGCGTTTCCATTCGACCGTCGTCGCGCCGCGCTACGGTCAGGGATGGAAGCCGGTAGAATTTTCGACGGGTTGCGATTTTCGACGCAATACACACGGGAAAAATAAAGGACACGGCAATCGGGCCAATCAACCTGCCGCTTTTTCGGAAATAATAGATATGCGAAAACATAACGGGAGATTGATTACCGCGTCGCGCCGTCGCGTATACAAGAGCCATTACGTCAATTGCTTCTCCATTGTAACGAATGAATGAAGACAGATGTTGCCTTTTTTTTACCTTTTTGCGTTCTCAAGCGAAAATTGAAACCGATGAAATTTTTGATGGAGTTTGCTTCTCTCATGCAGTGCACGAAAGGGGATATATCTCCCCCGCGATATTATTGAGGCGTCTCCATTTTAACGAATAAAGATATCCGGCTGAAAAATATATTTTACGAAGCTAAAATTGAAACCAATTATGTTTTCGATAAATATAGGTATGACGAAAATTTCTGTAAAAATCGAAAACTGAAATCGATGGAACTTTTGTAAATTTAATTCGTCGTCATATAAAACAAATCCTGATTATAAAACGTAGATTGAAGAAGACAGAATTTATATATATTAAATTTGAGAAAAAACTTTAATTTTTTTTATTATATTAATTTCCTCAAAATACTTCGTTTTTTGTCAATACGAATATATCAGATAAAATTCGCGTATAAATTTAAAAATCTTGAATAATAGTTTCAGGATACATACATATATGTCTATATCGTTATACGAGAATAATTCTGTTAATCGTATCGAGCTCTATACATACTGGAGTTGGAATGAGCCTTCAAGGGTTGGGGAATGACCCAATTCGTAGAAAAGGATGCACATATACCAGGTGGATAACTATCCTTGTCAGGGATTCGCTGGTTAGTCCATGCTAATATCATGGTCAAAAACATTGACCATATGTATGAACTTTACAAATTAGGAGAAAAATAAGAATAATTCACAATCATTTTCAATTTCGCTATTATTTAAATTCGTAAATAAAATAAAAACACTTTTGGGAAGCTACGTTTTTATCGCCTGCAATAAATATCCGATGAGAAATGTCTTTTAATTTAGATTGTAATGTAAAAAGAGACAGAGAGCCATCCAAGAATATCTATGTCTCTTTTTAATTCTGGCTCCGATTAGCTATAGGATAGTATAGGAAGGCTCATTTCAATATACTATAGAACTCAATGTATCAGTTGCTTCATGTTAGTCTGTGTAGTTGATCGTCTTTCTCTCTCTTTCGATAAAAACGATATCTTTTCCCAATTTTTGTGACCGCTTCACGTTATTGAAAACAACTTATCCAACAGCTGATTCAATCACGTTCGTTTTAATTTGTATTTACATTTCCCAGGCATTTCCTAAGCATCGCTCTTGGAGGATGAAAGTCACGATCAAAAGTAAGTATATTTTTAAAGAAACGTCAGTAAATTTTATCGCCGTCCAATTTATCTAATCTACTCCTGCAATTTCATTTAATTGCATAGAATTTTTAATAACAAGTACGTGGTTATGTCATGGTTATGACTAATATTTACAAATTTTCTCGGCCACGAAGTATCCTTCACATAGATCAGCACCCTCATTCTTTCTTCAGGTTGGACAGGCGTCGCCACCTGGCGTTGGATCGCCAACGACGATAATTGCGGCATATGCAGGATGCCGTTTGACGCCAGCTGTCCGGATTGCAAGATTCCAGGAGACGATTGCCCGCTTGGTATTGTATTTCCATTATTTCATTTAAAAATATTAATCACGCCCACACGATAGTTATTCGAAGATACATTTACTCGAAATTTTTATCTCCGTGATATTTTTTCCTTAAATTGCCTAAACATTTTTAAAAGAATTTATTTTACTTTCTTATATAATTATTTTTATAAATTTTATTTTTCATGTATTTATTTTTATATATCTTTTATATATTTGTATTTATTATGTTACATTTCTATTTTATTGATATTTTTATATTTTATTTATATTTTATTTTATTATATTTTATTTATATTATATTATATTACATTTATATTTATTAATATTTATTCATATTACATTCATATTTTGTTTTATATTTCATTCAAATTGACTGAGGAGAAGCGTATATAAAATTGAATCGTTTATTTATGAAACAAAAAAGGCTCGGGAGGAAATTTATTTCACGTGGTCTCGCGCAGAACCCCGAAACACGCATTATATGTAAAAGCGTGGGAAGCGCGTAGGGGGAGGATCCCTCTCTCGTAAAATGCCGCCGCGTGTCCGCGACGGCGCGCGATATCGATCGACGCGTGCCGGTCGGAGACAACGCGGCTGACACAAGGGCAGGCGCCCCGGCTGCCCTTCTTCCTCGCCCTCGCCCTCGTCCCGCAGTCCCTACCGCGTATCGATGCGCGTACACGCGCGACAAACGCACCGTCCGTCCACAAACGCTCCCTCCCCGCCGCCAGGTGCGCGTTGCGTCTCGTAATTCCGGCTCTCGACGGGCTGGCGCCGCTCGACGTCGACGAGAAATTAATTTAACGCGCGACCGATCGTCGTTTCATCTCGCCGTTGCCCCTTGTTCCAGTCTGGGGGCAGTGCTCGCATTGTTTCCACATACACTGCATCATGAAGTGGCTGCACTCGCAGCAGACCAGCCACATCTGCCCGATGTGTCGCCAGGAGTGGAAGTTCAAGGAGTAACCGCCGACGCTTTCCGCACGGGCCCGCAGGTGTCAGCACGCAGCGAGCAATCAGGTAATAATGCGTGTCCAGCCTTCCGGCTGACGAAACGTGGATATGTTGTATTGGATGATTTCATTCTTTTTTTTTTTAGGAGAGGGGCATGTTAATCTATAAAAGAGTCGTTAGATCAGATTCGCGCAAGCCAAATGTGTAAACCCAAAGGTCTGTCAAAGGAAAGACAATTACAAGCACCTGCTGATGACAATGTGCTCATTAACGTCTATTCGTAAACACACGTTTCTTGAATCGATTCAGCACGCATATGTATATTCACTGAAAATTCAGTCCTAACGGGACTGATAGATTCGTCTTCCAAGAGAGAGTGTATCTATCTCTCTATAAATTTAGGACGTTATCAAGAGAAAAAACCCGTCCATCCGCTGACGATTAATTCCGCCTGCCGGACGACAACCCGACGTGCATTCTCGTACATACAGTCGTGACCGGTGCAACCGGTTCGCAGTCATCACTCTTCACGGATCGTCTATCGAGTCTTTGGAATTCTTATCTCAGCAGCGTACACGTAAATAATTTTTATAATTTTCTTCTCGTTACATATAAGACACGCGGACAACGTATCTCGGAAATCTTAGCGACTAATAAGACTAGGGTGTTGAATTTAAGGGCCACAATTTCCATCATATTTTCAACTCTGAATATATTTCTAAACTTCCGCATTCTCTGCGAGAGGCAAACACAGGCTTCAGGTTCGAAAGGTTACCACGCGGCTATCGGAGCAACCGTATCTCTCTTTTCGTATCTGCACGCTGTAGATGACGCATTCGTTCGGCTCTCGTTGAATTATTAATAAGTCGTATTCAACGATACTGTCAGCGCTGTCAGCGTGTGTACGTTCCGCGTGTCGAGGATGTAACGTAATAGCTGCGCGCGGCGTAATCATTCTCTCGGCAGTGCTTACGTCCGGGTCTCCTTTTTCGCTTTAATTGCGGGAACGCGCATTTTGCCGACATAATCGTGGGCGAGGAAACTCTGACATCTAATGGAACGCGGGACGTGCGAATAAATAATAAAGAAAGTCGGAGCAACACCGTGGAATTTTATTTTTAACGCGGCGATTTTATTTTGCCCGTTTTGCGAGTCAATTTTACGTTCACGTTTGTAAAAAGACTGAATTATTTATCACCACGGGAAGGAGAAAACTACGTGTTCCAGTCGATACGGTTAAATAAAACGGTGGCCAAAGTACAGACTTTAACAGCAGCACGCAAGTCACGTTTCAACGCCAATTCTCTTAACAATTGAAGAGTATTTGTCTGACACTAGTTTAGTATCAGATATATTACCGTAAAACGTTAGAAGGAAAGAATTGTTAATAGTGTTTGCTATATAATATTTTTTTATTCGGCATCTTAAAAGGCTTCTAAAAGATATTGAATTACATAATGTGTATGATGCAAACACAGAGAAAAATGTATACTGTATTCAAGTAAATATTATTATATTTAAGTATATCATAAGTTTGTATATCCGCAAATATATCAAGTTCATCACAAGCATTAAATTTAATTGAATATATTCTGAATTTCAGTAAGTGCAGTATTTTAATCAAAAATATTAAATTAAGACAAAAATTTTTTTTAGTTACTATATAAAAAAAGTTTAATTTTTCTTTGATACAACTTTACAATATTCTTGAAAATAAATTCTTTTTTTGAGTGCATGATAATGAGATTTTCCAACACTTGTGATGAGTATATTTTAAGACTGTTATCAAGAATATATTTTTTGTTGAAGAAAATTATTACTTAAAAAGAGAAAAATAAACCGAGTAATCGTTTTTCTTGGTAGTAGAATATTTTTCTCTGTGTATATATGTTATAAAGGCATTTTTTTTAAGATGTCAATTTAACAAACAGTTTACTAGCACCATATTCGAAACACGTATCACGAGAAAGCCCATGGCACAGTTTCGAAATTATTTTGGCGATCGCATTTTAATAGTATAACCGATAAACGGGATCGTCTATGAGCGACACGGAGATATATACTCATGATCCGATTTTGACCGGTCTAGGGACCGTGGGGACGCTAATTTGCATTTTATCGGCGGGAAATCGGCCGCAAAAGTGGAACGGGCCGGGCTTTTTACCTGAGCCAGAGCGAAACAGAGTGTGAATAAATTCCGAGCCCGCGTTTTCCCGGCCGGCCGACGTGCCACTTTGGCCTTAATTGCGTCGTGAATGGGCGGGCGGGATAAACGCACGGCGATCGCGCGCTGATAGCGCATATCGCGCCGCGACGTCATCCCACATAGCACGCGAATTTCTAGGATCGAGAAACTTATCCGGAGGAAAGTTGCATCGAGCGACGGTTGTGGAGATGTAATTTCATATCTTGAGCGAAACGTGTATTTTTACACAAAAATCCATAAGCGTTGTCGTTAAAATTGATTAAACTATGTATTATACGGAACAATAATATTTATTAAAATTTTGCACGTATATCACATATTTGCAAAATATTCCGACATATCGAATATACATGTGTACAATTTTTAAATTAGTTTTAAAAAATATATTACGTAGAAATATATCTCGTAAAATAATTTATAAATCTATCCAGAGAGAGGAAATTTAGTAGTGGTATTTTTTAATTATATCGCAAAGCTATTCTGAAGATATCCGAGCGCACGCTTTTGAGAATATGCTATCTTTTATGAAAATTTTTAATGAGCGAAATATCGCATTAAATTCTATCATAAAATATCAAAAGAAGAAAAGTAATACGAAGTAAACTAAAATCTTTCTAGATTCTAGCGATTATATATTACAGAAACTTTACAGAGGACTGATGCAGGAAATTAATTAATTAAATTTGATAACGACAAAAGTGACAAATAACTAGATACTAATGAAAAGAGGACGCTAAAGATCATTAATATCAAAGAAATTAATAGCACCATTGAATGAGACTCCATTTCTGAAAATCCTCTATATAAAATCACAGAATCGAAAATAAACTCGAGGCTTTAAGGCGGAGAATCGCTTCGTTAGGACAAATTACGCGAATCAGGGCTAATCACGTCCATCTTCCGCAATCTTCGAGCATCGGCGAGAGAGGAAGGAATCAGCGAAAGCTAAAAATGTCACACCAAGCTACGGCACTGGAGAACGGACCTCGGTTCTCGAGGGGCTCATCGCGAGACGGAGGGGACCTAATGGGTCCCTTCCCTTTTCTCCGTCTCGCTCCGTTCGTCACTTCCTTCGATAATCCTCCTTCTCCGCCCTCCTCCCGTCCCAGCGCCCTCCTCGTCCGCTACGGGTTACTCTCTCACGCGATACCGCGTTACATGTGCACCTACATCCGATGGAGGTAGCGAGACGGACCCCGGAGATGATTGGCCCCGACTCCGGGGATTCTGCGTTTCATAACACGTGACTCCTCTTCTTTTAATTAGTGTTAATTGCGCGATGACTTTGTTTTCATCCCGATATCATTTCGCATGCGCGCGTTTGTTTTTGTAAAATTTCATGACTATTTTTTTTAATTTGCATTTGTACTTTTTATTTTTTTTTTATTAAGTATTATGACTATGAAAATCAGAAATATAAATATTATAATATTTGTATTTTTTTTTTTAAATTAAATATTATGACTATGAAAATCAGATATATAAATATTATAATATTTGTATTTTTTATTTTTTTTTAAATTAAATATTATGACTATGAAAATCAGAAATATAAATATTATAATATTTGTATTTTTTATTTTTTTTTAAATTAAATGTTATGACTATGAAAATCAGAAATAAACGCTCGATGAGACTGTTTGCTCCGAATTCTGGAAAGTTTACGTTTTTCGGAAATCGCCACTGCGTCCTCATCGAAGCGAATAATGCGCTTTCGAAATGAACGCATTCGCGGATAATTAACACCTGCGCTTAATATGATGTAAAGTGAAGAAACGGTAGGACAGAGACCGTGAAGTATAACGTGAATCTCGTAATTTAATCGAAACGTCATGGCGAAATCGGCTTACATAAACTCAAGTAATCTCGAACAAAGATATATTTAATTGCGATTCACCAAACGCATAAAGCATCTCGTATGTAAACGAAAAGTGCTCTTAATCCATCTTGTCGTCATCAATTATTATAGTTATATCGATGACATAACATGATGATATAATAACAGATAATAAATTCCAAATTATGTACAAAATATTGATGTAAAGCTGTGTAATAATTTCTCAACATTTTGATTCTTAATCACACGAATTGGATGAATCTTTTCAGACTCCAAGTTTTCACTTTGAATAATTCGAGGATCATACATGTCGTGAATATTTGAAGAAAGATATCATAAAGAAGCCAACATCGGAGAAGAAACTTCGGTGCCTCAGCGAAGTTAGAAAGTGCGCGACCGCGATTTTCCGCAAAACTTAGAACCGATAATCGCTCTTGCCCTCCCAGATCCCCCGCTTTTACGTAATATGCCGAGCGGTTTAAGCGCTCCGCATTTTTCCTGTCGGGCCGAGAACACTCGCACAACATCAGCGCGATCAGTGCGCTAAGAGATCGCTGCGAGACCGCGTTGAACCCTCGTCATCTACGACCGCGGGTCCTCCTTACATTTACCTCTGCTCTGTTGCCTCTCACGTTGCCTTGTACATAAACACAGACACGCTCACTCACTCGCCGACTCGCACATTCGCTTATTCACGCACACACACGCAGCAGGCCGTACACGCGTTGACTACCTGACGAGAACTCGAGCTCGGCCAGTCACGTGGCCACTGATCGCGAAGGATGTTTGTGGGATCGCAAAGTCAGTCTGCTGCGGACGGCCTGTCGGGAAAGAGAGGATAGAGGCGGCGCGATCAGGTGGAAGAGAAGGAGGAACAAAGCGGGGAAGGAGATACTGGATCGGGGATATTGCCTAAGGTCTTCGTTGCTCTAGCTCTACCTGTCCGAAGACTTTCGGAGCGCCTTGTTTCGGCTCGTTCTTTGTGATTTCGCGAAATACACGCGCAATTAAGAGTTGGATAAATCTTCGTAGACTCAAAAGAGGAATTTCTCATATTTGGAGCACGCGAGGGAAGGAATCTCCTCCTACAACACGTTAGGATATCATTATAACGAAATTCACGCCAAAGGCAAGAATTAATGATTTAGTTGTGCATTAGAAAGTGAGGATTTCGCGCGGTATTTCGATGCACTGAAACGTGAAAGACGAAATGTGACGCCGAGCGAGACTCGGAAGTGAAGACGCGGATGAGATCGAAGACGAAGTGGTTGTCGAGTGTTTCCTATGATGAAGTTTTATTCGCTTCCTCGTGGATAATTGAAGAAGCTTAATCATCCAAACCGAGTGGATTTTTTAACAGGATCCAAACAAAACTTTTGACAGGAGGCAAATGTAAAGAGGGATATCGCTCCGGATTTGGAAGCCATCAGGATTCTGCACGTTCATGATAGCGAACATTTGCGGATGCGGTATGCGGTAGAAAGTTTATTCGCGATAAACCAGATTGCGTTCGTAAAGAACAGCGAGACCGCTGGAAAATCTATTTGTGTACACTCTTCATAAAAGGAAAGCACGAGCCATCGAGATAGGAAGAGCGTAGGATCGAGACCGTAACAACATCTCCAAGATCAGCCGAAACTTGAGCGAGATAAATCTCCGATGGAAAATCGAATTCCGTCTATTCAACCTTCCCCAGCGTAAAATCGGCTACCTGAGAGAATATCGACATTCCTGCGGGATTGTAAATAAAATTACTCCATCTCGCAGGACGACTCGTCGAGGTTCGCAATTCGTTCGCGAACGAATGGAGATTTTAGGAAATTAAAACCGCGCATGTGAAACCCATTAACGAGCCGACTGCGTTCGCGATTTTCACGGGATTGTATGCAAAATCGCATCGGCGATATCGCGAGGCATCGGCACGATCGCGACCCGCTTACGAATAAAGAGGACGAGGTAGACTCGAGGGGAGGGAAACGAAAGAGAAGAGACGAAAAAGGAGGAAACGGTGAATCGACGGGTACGTGCGGCGAGATTGCGGTGATTTTGCTGGCGCAACAGTGTAAAAGCGTGTAGCTGCGTTGCACAACACTCTTGTCATTGCTGATCCGCATTCGACGTATATGCTCGTTCATGCGTTTTAAGCGAATGGAAATTCATGTCGCAAGACATTCGTAAACGATCCTCCCGGTTGATACATTTTAAAGAGAGTATCGCCGCTTTATCTATTCGCAATCGCGCTCGCGAATTTCTAAAACGAAATACCACTTGTCGGAAATGGTGAATCAAGGCCTCAGAAATTTATTTATTTTTCTATCTTGGAAGATATGATGATATCTTGCGACTCGTGAAACACTTAACGGAAAAAGTTTATGAGGCATATAAAACGCTTTGCTTTTATCAAGAATTTCATATCTCTTTCACATTTATAACTGATAAGGAGGATGATAAACGCATCGACTTTTATCTTGGAAATATGTTTTTTTTTATCAGAAAGCAGTTTTCATCGCCAGGTGAAGGTGCCTCGCATTACCATTGACATTTAGTGGAGTGATAGTACGCGTATTTTTATGAAATTGCATCATGGAGGTATGCAATTAGTTGGTTCGAAAACTAAAATATAGTTGCCAATCATGGTTGCCAATCAACTGTCCAACTATCTTCTATTTAATCTTATTATGAAGTCATTTTATAATGACACTTTACATTATAAAGTGCTGTATATCTTTGTAGCATGACATTTGGAAGCTATCGCTAATATTACGAATGACGCAAAACCAACAGAACGCAGTTAATCGACGTTAAAGTGTTTTCCATTACGAATGCAACGTTAACATTTCGTATTTTCGAGGTGTTAGGTATATACTTTCGCACACATAAGCGTGTCGCCGACGAGAATGAGCGGTTAGGCGATCCGAAAAACGTGCGGAATGCAGTTGGCAACCAGTCAGAGGCCTCACCCGCCTCCGGTGCCACCTCGACCGAGTCGGCAGGTGGTTGCCGAGGCCCTTAAGAGGTCGCCAAGGCCGCCCTGTCCTACTAGACAGGCACCACCGCCGCCGAACACGAAGCCCTGGAGATCCAATCAACAACAAGCGCAACCGCAGCAACAGGTGGACCCAACACCTGGTGGCCGCACGATCATATACGAGTCCATCAAGGAGGATTGCAAGGACGAGAGCACGCCCGATGATATGCGAGATCGTAAGCAAGCGCGAAATACCGAGGACAATGGCTCGGAGAACGCAGGTAAGGTCCCTCCTTCTCAGGAACATCGCGAGATCTATACGAATGTTAGCTCAGGGAAGCTTTATCCCACGGGAAACATCCCTGCGAACATCGTGAGGAAGCGCAACAGTCTGACTGAGGATCAACGGCCTCAACATAGACCGGAGACTCGAAGAAACTCCCGCGGGAAGGATCCGATCGATCTGTCGGACTATCGAGGACGACGCAGGGGCTCGTCCGATAAGGATCAACAGAAGGAAAATAGCGCCGTCGCGACGGAGAGGGTCGAGGAGACGTTGACGATGAAGCTACCGGCAGCTATCAGGACTGTCAACGTGTCCTTGGAAGACGGGCATTATTCCTCGTTGTCTCCGGATTCCGCGGATAGGCAAGTCACGGTGAGTCATCCGGAAAAATGCAACGGCAGTCCGGAGAGGGAAGAGGACGAGGAGCAGGTTGGGTCGACGCCCACGTGCGGATCGTGCCCTGTTGAGCAGCGGCAGCAGAAACAGCATCGGGAAATTTTCTCGGCGAAGGGAAAGGCTGCCGAGAACGATGACGCTGAGGCTGTATCCTCGATCGAGAAATCGACAAGCGTCCCGAGCGTTGACCGCGCCGCCACCACGGTGCTCGTCATGGACGAACCAGAGCGTAAAATCGCGCTTAGCGACCATGAGGACAATGACGACGATGATAACGACGGCGACAACAACATCCATCGACAAGACTGGTTGGAGGCAGGAGTCCATTACTCTTCCACGCAGATCACTCTACACGGAGATGACATCGTCGAGGGGGATCGTATCAATGGTTATGATCATCGCGAGGAGGAAAGAATCACTGATCTTGATTTTATCAGGTAGACCACAATTGTGACAAAAAAAATCGCTCGCATATCTACGGAACAGGTCATTGAGTTATTTATAGATTTATGCTAATAATGAGATGTTATATAAAAAATGAGGCTATTTTTTCCATTCGCCAAATGGTGATGGACTTTGAAATCTTTTAATTGGAAATAAATTGTTTTTTTAAGAAACTATGCTCGTAATGTAAGATCTAAGGCTTCTTGTTCAATTTTATATGGATTTTTTATCTGGAGTATTTTGCGTTTATACAATAACATAAAGATTATATTATGTGGGAAAAATTAATTATTTTTTAAGAATAAAATATTGCTTTAATTTGAAAAATTAATTTAAATGTTTGGAATTTTTTCTAGATTTTTATTAAAATGTTTAACATAGATTTTCCAAGCGATTTGACAATATGACATTTTTATTCTGCGTGTCATATGACTAATGAAGCATTATTGAAATATATTAATTATATTATCGATGCTAATATATTGTAATAATTATCAAGGAGTAATGGATGTTGATGTATTAATTATTGAGGAGCGATAGCTGCAGAGAGAACCATTGTTACCGATTTAGCCGCTTTCTCGCGTTTCGCGATAAGTGTGTTGACGGGCTACAAAATCTGATTGTTCGTAATTCAGAGTAATTAATATTTTAAAAAATACATTTCTTCTCTTATTATCTCAGGTATGCTTCGAATCGCTCTTGATTTTCGTCATCAAATTCTGACAAATTAAAATACACTTGACATTTTGACATTAGAAATAATATATAACGCACACAAATATATATATAACAATTATACAAAATTTAATAAATATTACGATAAAAAAGAAGGGAAGAAAAAGTTTATTAAAAAGAAATATTTTTCCCTTCTTCTTGTTTATTGATATTTATTATATATATTATTTTCGAAAAATAAATACGAATAATATATAAATATTTTCTCGCACTATAAAGAATTAATTAACAATTAAATTAAATTAATTAATTGCAATTTTTATCAAGTATTAAACTAATATATCGCTATCTGTGTTTATCAAATTGCACTTGTCGAGATGCATCAAATCAATTTCATCTCTATATGTGGAAGATAAAACGAAACAGACAGGTCACAAAACCAATTCGAATATCGATAAGAGTGAGTACATATTTGTGGGATATACACGCGATGATAACCGCAGGGTAAAGTGAGTCATTCACAAAATCCTCCGCCTTTCTGACCGCGGGCGACCGACGTTCTCAAGACAGATCGATTTTTATTCCATAAAATGATCGTATAACGGTATCTCCGTTTCCTGCGGCCTCCATCATATTTTGCCTTTGGCAATTTACAGGAAAGAATATTCAACTTCTCTTTTCTTTTTTCTTCTCTATCTCTCGCAAGTGTTTTTTCCATATACAACTACTAAATCCGTTTCCCTCGCGAATTTTTATTTTCCAATAATTTATAAATTTGTCACGGGTCAAAAAACAAGATTGAATTTAAAATAGAATATATATTTTTTGTGATATAATATATATGTACAATTATATATAAAATATCAATGGAAAATAAGATCCTAAGAAAATAAAATTTAAATTAAAATATCTCTTATCATATAATGCAATTAAAATATCTTTTACGATATAATAATTAATTTATTGATAAATTATACATATTTGCGGGTTTATTTTTAATTATAAATATCTATTTAATCATCAGAAAATTGTAGTTATTTATTTTATTACTGGATGACTTATTGCATTATCCTATTTATCGAAAGATAAGCAAATTTGTGATTACATCGATATAAAACTGACTTTTATACTAATTGGCATTGCTAACTCAAATGTAAATTTGTCGTTAAAAGTGAAAATTTGCGCTTTGTTTCAGTATACAAGAAAGGATCGCGATGTCTTCTTTGCAAGGATTACCCCCGTTACCGAGGAGTCTGAGCGGTTTCAACCTGAGCGGACGCGGCGAGAGCGGCGAGCCACCTCCACCGCCCACGAGGTCGTCAAGTAAATCCCAAAGAGGCGGTAAACCGTCGTCATCGAGGCCATCGCCACCTGCCAGACAGCTCACCACCCTGGATACCCAGTTGGCAGTGCTCAGGAGAGAAATGGTACTCTATTCGAGAATCGTTTGCGCGCGCTTTTTCTCTATCGCACCTTTAACGCCCAGGAATGCGGTCTCGTTATATCTGCTTAGGAAATGCAACCCTCTCGATGCTATTATACATTTCTTTGCGAAATGCATAACAGTTACTGTGCGAACTTATGTAGAATATTGGCTATCAAATATTTTTTCATGATGATTTTTATTTATGCATATTATTCTCTAATAGGTTTTTCTTTTTACATATTTATTTAATAATCTACGAATGGGAAAGATATATAAAAACAATGAATCTTTATTTCGTAATTTAACGCGCTAAAAGAAGCCTAACAATTTTTAAAAGAATATTGTTTATTGTTTTTTCAGACATAAAAATTTAAATTAAAGCATTCAATGTTTTTCTCAGTTCAATGTTTTTCTCATTTATCGAAGCAATTTTAAATTAATGAAATACAAACATATTAACTATTCGCACAAACAAGTTTAATACGTGACTTATTTTAGATGAGAGAAAGAGAAAAATAGAGAGAGAAAGAGAAAAAAACATTAAACATTTTTTTTACAAATAATGTTATGGACCTTGGTAGTTGAATAGCTGAAGCAATTAGTACAAATAAAAAACGATGGCTGGAATTCTTTGAGAACAACTGCGAAAATATTTGAACACCGCATTTTATGACGCGCAGCAGCATTCGAGATGCAGCAGCCGGTGAATTGTCGATGCTGTTCAAAGTGGTGTCTGAAATTGTGCATCCTCTAACACGGCAGCCATTAACTCCAATAGAAACCATTAGTCATCCGCTACGATGCGAAATATATTTACAAGCATGCAGGAAAATTCCACGCGTTCGCATGTAATAATACGCGTGATTTAAAAATAACTCGAGAGATTTCCGTTGTCACCGATCGTTGACGCTGAAGCGGAAACTGGCGCAGTTTATTCGAGTCCCATTTTTTTCGCGAAACAATTTATGTCACCTGAATTCTTTAAATTTGACTCCTTTCATTTTTTCCATAACATATTTTTCAAATTATATTTTCCATTCCTTCCTTTTATGTCCTATTTAAATATCTTTCTTCTATTTTTCATTTTTCTTTTATTCTCTCTTGACTTTGATTTCTTCTTTATTTTTTATTATTGCCGACTGTTTTAATGTAAGCCTCACAATTCTCGCCACTCCTTATCCTTGATATTCTAGTGCGTCATCAATCCGAGCACGTTTCGTGAACCGTCGTCATTTTCTACTTAGTCGTTGTCCACCTTCTGCTTTTTTTTTTCTTTCGATTCTTCCGCATTTGTTTGGACGACCCGACCGACCCGTTACCTCGAGGCCACGATCGCGTGTGAATAAATTGCGGAACGCGATGAGCGTGTATTTTATGCGTGGGATCATAAGCAGCGAGGGAAATCATATCATAGCACGGTAGAGAGAATACTTATATCATACTCGTCATGTATATAGAGATTCTGCTCTTTTAATACGTATATCTTGAATACATATATTACTTTGCAGATTTCTGTTTGCGCAGCAGACCGAATATGTAAATTTACTATTTTAAATTCTTATGTCGAGTAACGATATCACGTGCGATTCGGATTCTAAGAGATTATTTATTTCGATTAAAATCGCATCGTCATCGTCTACGAAATTTGTATCTCTAAATATGTCGTTAACGCGCCCACAATGTTTCTCATTATTATTTCACGAGGGGCAAGATCCTTCGAGTGTCCTACTGACCCGAGGATCTTGCAAATTACTGCTCGTTTCGTACAAAATTATTGCCACATCACATCGATCACATTCGCTTAGCATTCGCGGTCAATCTTTGCGAAATTAACTCTAACGGGACCTCGCGTAGAATTTCTCCGGAGGAAGAGAGGCATTCGCATGATAAGTGTTTTGTTGTCGTTCGCGCCAGCATCTTTGAAGTACCTAAGTTGAGCTAATAATCTAATAGTTATTCAGACGCGCACGATATATGCGCACTGAAACAGCCGCTCCCACGCTACGTTTCCTCGGGCATGACTCTCGGTTCCTCCTTTTCCTCCCGGCTCTCTTTCACCTTCGTTCTCTCTTCTGCTCCTCGTCGTAGTCCTTCTCCTTCCAGCCTCGTCTCTCCTTCATCGCGCTCTCCGCTCGCCACCACCTCTAGTATTCTTCTCAATCTTATTTTACGTCTCTCCTGTACTATGATTCTCTCTTCCTATCCGTTCCCACGGTCGCCGAGTCGCTTAGAAATACGTCATTTCGATCTGTAAATCACGAGGTAACATTTACCTTGGTGACCGTATGGTAAAAGTGAACGTGCCAGGTACATTGCAGATTCTAGATTGAGTCCTATATGAAATTTCGCAACAATTCACGGATAAATAATTAAAAACAGAGAAAAGAAAAATGATAATTTTAGTAATAAAGTAAATAAACAGTCTTTCCTTTTCTCCTTTTTCGAAATAAAATATTATACTTTTAATACAATTAATCTTTGATGCTAAAAAAATAAGCTTCGCGATAACTGTTTTATTTAAAAAAATCACTACGTCATTTTCCTATCTAACTGTCGCTATAACAATTTTAATTTATTTAATTTATTTAAATTAATTTTTTTTATTTTTGATTATCAACGTACTAATGTCGCAATAATTATTTTTGTATCTACCAGTTTGGGCTGCGGCAACTCGACCTCTCTTTGCTCTCGCAACTGTGGTCCTTGAACGAGTCGATCCAAGAGTTTCGACAGTTGCTGCAGGAGCAGGAGGACCGAGCGCCCTCGCCATCGCCCAGCAGCGAAGAAGGAGATGATACATCCTACGGAACGCATCCGCCGCCACCTCCGAGAAGGCCGGCGCCCACGTTGCATCATCATCGACCGCCGCGACCGCCCAGGCCACCCAGACCGTCCGCCAGCGACGAGTCGCCGTCGAGCGAGGAGTACGGGGCCGTTTGACGTATCGTTACTGAGAGGAAGAAGTACTCGAGAAGGTCTCGATCCTCTCATCGCACCTAGAGCGGCGCGGGAACGCCGATATTTACGAGAAAAATTCTCGAAAGACTGATGTGAAAAAACAAAAATTGCGACGATGGGCATTTCGATATCCTATCGGCGATCAAGACTCGCGTGTGATGTAATATTCCGAACTACTAATTATTATTGCGAACTACTAATTCCTAAAGGTACCTGCAACGTTACTCGTCGGGCTGCTCAAGATTGCGATTTAGGACGATTCTCTCTCTTTAATTCGCAATTGGGGTCGACTCAATCATTTGAGAGAAATCATACCTAATAAATAAATCGCGATTGCGTGCACGCGAACACTGTTGTCTACCTAGAAAAGGTGTCGCTTCTCTCATAAGTCGTTGCTCGAAGAAGCTTCGTAATGACGCTGACGTTGCTTTAGCATGGAAGAAGGACTTGTAATCGACCCGATGATGAAAAACTATAGCTGTTATTGCGGAGATTGTTTTGCGTATGCATAATAATTGCTTCGCAATCTGAGGAAGAGTGTTGATTTGCAATAACCGACGACATTCCGCGGATGTCGCATTTTCTAGATAAAAGAAGGATTCGATTGCCACGAGCGAGAGAGCTAATTTTAGCTCGCTGCTCTTCTCTCTATTTGTGATAGTGCTCGAAGGGGCCTTTGATTAATGATAATCATATCCATATTTGTGCAGATTAAGATTCGAGACTGCTCCGCCACGAAGCGACCATAACAGATCCGAGCCCATTACACCACGATTCTTTGGTGTTATAATCCGATTCACTGACATCATTTAGCTAGAAAATGACTAATGAAGGAATCGCGGTGTTCTCTTTCATGTTTTTATACTGTTGTGCTCATCATGTAAAGTTCATTCTCGTTGTTGATATTCTCGGATTACCTGCGCAACTAGATCTATCGTGAGAAAGAAAGAAAAATTTAATATCTTCGAAAAATATAACTAGAGCAGGATTTCTATAAACACTCGATTTTTCATTATAAGTTTCATATCTTTTAGCATTTTTTTTCTGTGACGCCTCAATCCGTCGAATTTTCCTGCGTATTTTCAAAAAATTAGTGTTCTCAATGTTTTGCAGCGCCCTTTCGCGTAGATTAGCACGAATTATATGTAAAGATACGATGTAAGACTATGCAGAATAAATGAAACTTAATTTAAATATATTCTGTCACATAATTACAATCTTTCCTTATTTGTACACCGTTATTCTGTCATGGATAATGATCGATAGTGCATCTACTTACATGCTACATATATGCAAATTGCGGCTCGCTCTGAGATACAATCAACGACAGGGTGTGTACGGAAATAAATGGTGCAATAGCAGGTCAGCGAGGATGAAGAAATCTCAGCTGCATGGAAGTCTTCGCGTTATACAAGATGTGATGCAATATATAATCTCTACTATATTATTTATTCTAATTATATGTTATTAAATATCTTTCCCATGTAGTTCTTAGTATTACGATATAAATGTAGCAAGATAACTTATATTTTAAAAATATTTTTGCATACGTAAAAAAGATATAATTTATTAAAAGAGATAATTTTGCGCGATTAAGAAGAGCATCTAATCATATTTTTAACACTATAATTTATATGACTATAATAATTTTATATTTAGATTCTTTATATTATTATTTAGATTTTTACTGTTAATCTATTAATTGATTTATATCATTTTTACGAATAATATTTTATAAAGATATTTTTTCTTTAGAATTTTTAGAGTTTCTTAAAATCGCAACTTTTGAAATTTTAATTAGTATCATTTCTTTAATCTAATATATTTTCTTAATATTTTATAAATTTTTTTCATTTAATTTTCACACTGAAAAGTCTAGGAATTTTTCTTTTCTGTGCTTATTCGAAGTTTGAGAAAAAAGAAACGTGAAATCGTAAAGAATCTGAGAGATTTATCGGACATTATTAAAGAAATATATTATTAAAGTGACTTGGGAAGGCTTATTTGATAAATGCACTACTATAATTATTTTGACATGTTTAATCATTAAAAGTTTATCTTTTCATAAATACTTAACGCACGTAAATTGGCGGTCAGATCTAATACAGATACTCATATGTAGATATGCACGCACACGGACACATACGCGGCACTCACAAATTATTCGTAATCGAATGCCGATCGATGAAACGTTTGCGATTCTACAGTTACGGTGAATCTGTGGAATTGGAATTATTACTTAAGAATATTCTCGATGAACGATTAAACTTTTGATAGGAAACAAAGTACATACAGCATTTTATCATAAATTCTTAAGTTTAGCGCCGATGACTCAGGAAGAAGCTTTTAAAGCATTTGCGGAGAAAATCATTGTCAGTCAAGCCAGCAAGATATTTTACAATCTGTAACGTCAAAAAATAGGAACTTGTAACCATTTTTTCTCGTTTTTTATTCGCAAATGTTACATCACCGTGAAAGCGCATTTGTTATAAAACTGTTATTTTTATCGTTACGATCGTATGCATAACGTTATTTCGTATAATAACACATTAGCCAACTTCGATGTTGATGGACTGACATTTGATAATTGATTGATTTTAGCGTCATCTTTGCTATAAACCGCAAAAATATGACGTTGCTAACTTAATTTCATAATCGGGTTGCGCGCATTTCCTCAACTTTTTCATGCTCTGCTTTCTCGCGAATTATATAGCTTGGCACTGCGTTATTATTTTAAAAGAAAGTTCCTATAAACTTTCATATATCAAACAATTGTCGATGAATACTGCAATTTATGCGTTTTCTTCCTTGCCTGCGGTCTGCGGAAAAATCGCGTTTTTAATATATATATATAATATATATGTACAATTTCTATCTTTCACTTTTCAGCATCTATCGACGTTTTATATAAAAGCAAGCAAGGAGAGAAAAATGCAAATACAAACGAAACTAGCTAAATTATCGCATACATTTAGATTTTAAAACTGCATAAGTAAACATGTACAAAAACTTTACAGAGAGAAAGTATATCTCTTATACAAGAAGAAATACATTGCAGAAAAATTGTAACAAATTCTTATGTATGAGATATAACTATAATATTCAAGAAGAATAAGTCGCATTCATTTAAAGGAAACGCGTCGTTGATCAACACGATTTGAAAAAAAGCGTCACGTTCCTTAAATTGATTTTCGTTTCTGTGCTTAAAGGCTATAACAAATTGTTAATTAGTGTTGAGTATGAGCAAATTTATGATATGCAAATGAATGTGAAGAACATTCTTTTAGTGTCTTCTCGGACAGATGTATGTTATTTTTGATTTTATGTGTTTAATTATTATTATTTTTTTTGGTATTTCCAATCTTTTCTCTTCTATCGCATTCATCTTCATTTATATCCACAACGAGATAGAAGCCCGTTTTTCAAACGGATTCGTGTCGTATAATTAATCATAGAGCCTGTTTTAAATCCGTTTCGACGGTATCTGCGTTTTCAAGTGGTATCTGCGCATATGTAAAAATGGTCTCGAATGCGCGTTTCGAAAATGATGCGCGAAAGACATACATCGTCCTTACGGAATCGAAGAATAATTCTCGTCGTGATTTTAAGTGACCATCATCGACCGAGCAATCTATATCGGAAAAGTTGATTCTCATTAAACATTGCACGTAATACATACAGATATATTATCGTCTCTAATATATGTAGAAAGTTTCGCCCTAATCACATTTACGAGAGATTATTTAAAGAAAGTCGCACGATCCCTTTTCTGGATCCTGTTACGAAAGTATATGTATGTATATTGTGTATATGTGTGTGTGTGTGTGTGTGGGTGTGTGTCATCATTGTGCTTATCATTTAAAAAAATACCATCGCGCGATTTTCTTTCTCGTCACACAGATATATCATAAAGTGGACTCGCGTTTCTTTTTTTTTTTTATGATTCCCTTGTATGTTTAACACAGCCAAAACTTGGCGTTACACGAATGTGCGCGTTGCATTGAATACTAACACGCGACATTCGTGTTACATGAGGTAAGAGTAATCTTCTTACATGAGGTAAGAGTGAGATAATAATATATCGTCACTTTTTTTTACATATTATCGCCACTTTACGAGATATTCGAACAAATAATTCAATAATTTTTCGCGCATGAGACATTCATAAAAAAGCGTTGTTATCTATTATTATGCAGCGCATCTTTCACTCACATCGGGCAATTTCTCTTTTCTCTAAAAATATTTTTCTCTTACATCAGGTGCTACCTTTGCTATTTTTTGCATATTAATTAACAATAAGTATAACCTACAGGAAAAATTCTAACGCGGGGAGAGAATATTCTTTCTAGAAAAACTAAAACGACTAATGCCAACCCACAGCTTATAGAGGTAGTTGTAGAATTATAGCCGAGGATATATACAATACTGGCTGTTTTAGTACCAGAATATTCATATATATAGTATATGAAAGATGTCGAAGGAACAACGCGAAAATTTGCAAACAGATCCGAGAGAGTTGGTGGACTATTATATAATAATTCGCACATAATACGTATCATGTCCCTTTAATACAACGGCGTTAAAGATTATACGAATACGTCAAATCAACGGTAGAATTTCATTCGGACCTTGTCAAACAACGTCAAAAAACAATCAACATTCTATTGCTGTTCCCTTAACGAGCAATTTCTATCGCGGTCTCTCTCATACAAACGCATGCACAACTTTGTACTGATCGTCTCAACCGTGATAACGATTAATTCACGTTAATGTCTAACATTATATTAGATAATTATATATCCCTTAACAATAAACTTACTCGCTAATTCTTAACGATACCAAATCTATATTGATAATATATATATATATATATATATGTTGCTTTCTCGAGCTTAAGAGAACCGTAACGCGCGTTTGTGGGGAATAAAAAATTGGACATCTTCCCCATCTGTCATTTTTTTCGTTTGATACTTTCTCATCGACATTGTTTCTTCGTCGAATATTTTACGGTTCAAGACGTTTCGTGAGCCATAATTTTGTGTATATGTATATGTATATATATGTATCTGATAAGTACTTGTTGATTTAACAAGTAATATTGGAAATAATAAAAATTATTGTGTAAAGTTTAATTTAAATTAAAAATATTTTACTTTGCTCTAAAGTGAAAAAATTACGAAAATCTGTATACGATTGAATTTGAAATATCAATAAAAAATCTTTTCTGCTTTGTTAAAAATCAATAAATTAATAAATCTGAATATTAAAAGAGAAAATATGCTAAAAAGTTCAACATAAAAATATTCTTTTTCAATCTTATCTCATTCTTCTATTGCTCATATATTTATCTCTAACTCATATATTTTATTTTATACCAGAAAGACAAATATTGAAAAGAATGTTAAAATATAATTTAACTATCATATATAAATATATAAATATATAATTTTATCATGTATATATATATATTTTTTAAGAAAATAACAAAAAACTTAAAAATATATAATTATTATGATCTATCTTTTAATTCATTTCCTCTTTCTTCATTTTAAGATTGAATTAATAAGTTGAATCATGTTCAGCGTCGTGCACACGATTCATTCACGAAAAAACATAACCATAGTCTTGTCTCTTGCATAATTAATTGGCAGTGCGTTGTCAGAAAAATATGATGACAAAAGAAATTAATGACATATCGGTGAATACACATAGTACCAACAATGATATTTTACTTTAATGCTTCTTATTTATTAGAAGGTTTGATTATTTTTTTTAATTGTAATTGACTCGTTTCTTCTATTTTCATACTTTTTAATGAAAAACTGTTTGCCTATTTATAAAATTAAAACATGAGTTCAATTCATCTATAAATATATAATGATAAATAATACAACCATAGTCTTAGGTTTTGCTTAATTGATCGACTCATCTGTAAATTTGGTAACAAAACCAATTTGATTTTTTTACTAAATTTACAGATGAATCAATCAATTAGGTAAAACTTAAAACTATGGTTGTGTTATTTTTTCCTGAATATGAATCATGTGCACGACGCCGAACACAATTCTGCTTATCAATTCGATCTTAAAAAGAAGAAACATAAGATGAATTAAAAGATAGATCATAATAATTATATTTTTAATTTTTTTGTTATTTTTCTAAAAACCAATTTGATTTTTTTAGCAAATTTATAGATGAATTAAATTTCATGTTTTAATTTCATGAATAGACAAGACAGTCTTTCATTAAAAAGTATGAAAATAGAAGAAACAAGTCAATTGCGATTCAAAAAGATAATCGAATCTTCTAATAAATAAGAAGCATTAAAGTAAAATATAATTGCTGAGACTATGTGAATTTACCGATATCTCGTTAATTTCTTTAATCATCATTTTTTTCTGACAATGCATTGCCAATCGATTGCTCAATCAATTATATAAAACGTGTAGCGCATACACGGTTCTCTTTCTTCGCTATTGCGTCTTATTTTCAAAATTTGTCTGTTTTTATAAATTCGAAAATAATTATCTAAAAATATCTAAACTACATTTTTCCAAATGTCTATCCAACTACAACATACATATAACGCACATTATATAATAAAATTATAAAATATATATAGCTCAATTTCAAAAAATAAAGATATTTTATAATATAAAATAAAATAAATAGCAATGAAAATAATAAATCAATAATAGAGTTTAAAGATGAAAGTTGCATCAAGTTCCGTTACGCCATATTAAGATGTACCAAAGTTAATTGCCGCTTTTTATCGAGAGTGAAACTGAGCGTCTGATATATAAAGAGATTTTGCAATAAATAAAAGAAAATAAATGGAATAGAGAAGATACATAGATAAATAAAAAATATTAGAACATAGATACATAATATCAGATAAAACATAAATAGAAAACAAAGAAAAATTAGAAAAAATGGAAGAAAGAATAGATTTAAAAAAATGAATAGATAAATTGAAAAAAGCTAAAGAGAAGATTAAAAATAATTTTTAATTCCGGAATGAATCGAAGATATGTGTGTAAAATATATGTTTATATTTTATGTTGAACAACTACGTAATTGCGTTGCACGCATAACTTTCATCTTTCACGCTTATTATTAATTTATTATTTTTACTGCTGAGAATATTTTTGTCAAAATTTTTCGCGTTTTCAACAAAACGTTATATTTCCTAGCGCAATTTATTGGTGGCAGAAAGTAGATAATGGAAAATCTCGCCACGCGTTGCAATTGTAAAAGTTGCGGCCGTTGATGCTGTTCGCATGTTTGCAAACGAGAATTTCATCCTTCTTATCTCATCATCTCCATTGATTCGCTAGGGTAATGTATTCGATATTCTATGATATCAACCGAACATGATAGCATTCCTCGACACCGGATCCATGTGATGTTCCAGTTTTACTAAGCGCACGTAATTACGGCCGTAATCGGTGAATGCCATTCTACCATCCCAGTGGAGAGCTATACCGAGTGGACGATCCATTTCTTCTTGACCCGGTTTATACGAATAAATTAACGATCCGACCGAGTTGAACGCTTTAATCGAATTATGACGGGAGTCCGCGACGAGGATACTGCCATCGTCGGCCACTATTACGCCCTGTGGCCTCTGAAACGTAGGTGCGTTTTCGTCGCTTTGGCCGTCGCCGTTTTCCCCACTGCCGTCTTGCCTCTTGCTCTTCAACTCCTTCTCGCACTTGAGTATACGCATATCCGTCATATTATACTCAATTATTAATAGATGATGATTGTTGAAATCCGTAACGATGAGTTTGCCCTCCTGATTGAAACAAATGCCACGCGGTGAGTCCAAGTACCTGAGCATATGCGGCTGACCTCCAAACATACGCAGCGGAATGCCTTCGGCGCTGAACAATTGTACGCGGTGATTCCTGGTGTCTGTGACCGCAATTTCGCAAGCAGTGTTTACCGCCACGTCCCACGGGTAACAAAACTGGCCTTGCTTCTCGCCATGCTCGCCAAAGGATCTCAGGAACTCACCCTCCATCGTTAAGATCTGAAACACGAGGATTTTATATTGCAATTTACTCTCTGGTTAAAGTCCTAGTCTCAGTGTAACATGAGAGGAATAAAACTTAGGTCGCTGAAAAATTATGCGGACCTGGATGCGATGGTTATCCTTATCGACGACGATGAGACGACGTCTGGCGTCGACGGCGATTCCAGCCGGGCGATTAAATTGGCAAGGGCCATTACCGTAGCTTCCAAACTTCCTAACGAGCGTGCCGTCGTCGCGATAAATCTGTATGCGATTATTCGATCTATCGCTGATTATGATGTTACCTTCGTTGTCGCAAATTAATCCCCACGGGCGGCAAAGATTGTCGGGATCGTTCTCGCCAAAGTGGCCGATGATCTGCACACTCGTGCTCTTGACCTGCAACTCGGGTTTCCTATTCGGAAGAACGATATTGCGCTCGTAATTCGCTATCGGACGACCGCGCGGTATCGGTTGCATCATTTGCTCATTCAATCCGTACGGAAAACATGATTGTAATAATTTGTAATCGCGATTGTGAGGTAGACGATCCCCGATTGTGCCTGGACTGTTCAGCAAGACGTTCCCGCCGTTAGCGATCACGGCCAGCACATTGCTGTCGGAACTCTTGAACGAGATCCAATTCTCCTCTCGAATAGGCCGGGTCTTCATCTTTCGACTCTGACGAATCTGCCAGATCTGTACAAACACACGGAATTTAAAAAAATTACGCTATATAATGTATATCTTTGTAGATTAATTTATAAATGTTAAACCAAAATATATATGTCACGTGTAAAATGAGATGAGATACCTCAGCCAACACCATATCTTTCTTCTTCAAGAGATCGTCAGGGTTACACACGAGATTGGGAAATCGCGCATCATAGATAGCGTATTTGAGGGCGCTTATGGCTTGTGACAGCCGGCTTTTATCCTCTTTTAGATGCATGTATCTTTCGTGAAGAACCTCAAACTTCCATCGTCGCGCTTCCACAATTTGTTTGAATAATTTCTTCTCCCTCTCTTCTACAGCAGCCCACATTCTACGTGAGAAGAACTTTACGTCATTGAGCGCCTCCCTAGTTCTCTGATCTAACGCTGCAATGTCCAACTGCAAGAAGCATAAGATGATTTTTTTAGGTAATCTATATTTTGAGAATTTAATTTTCTATTTATTTTATTATTTTCATTTTTTTCTATTTTATACGAAAAATATGTATATACATTGTTTCAAGCTATTTTATATTTTTGAAAGATTTAGAAGAAAATTATTATTAATTTTCAAATTGTTTAAATACATTTCGATCGATCAAAGCTGACTTACACCCATATTTTCCATATCATCCGCGAGAACGTCTACCCCGAGATAGGCTTCCATTAATACTTCTTCAGCTTGACGCTGAATAGTTTCGATGAACTCTACGAGATCGACCGTCATGTGTTTACAAGTGCAATGAGAGGCGCAGTTTTTACAAATCGGCTTGCAGCAAGTCTGGCAATAAAGCAGCTGAGTGTATGGATGGTCACTGCAGTGATACGGCGACGTCTCTATCGATGAATTAGGAGATTGAATCTTCTCTATTGCTGCCGCTACCTCTGTCTCTTTTGCTGCTTCTAGCTCTTCCGTTATTAATGGTACGCTAGACATATCCTGCTGGGTACTCGGATATTCATCGCACACAGATGATCGTAAAGATTCGATATAATCATCCTTCTCTATCTCATTCGCAATCTCAAGTTCTTTCGGTGATACACCTTCCTGGGCATTCGGACTATGGATTCGTTGCTCGCATACAGGTGATTTTTGTTCGGAGTAGGTGTCTTGTGTCATATCCTTCGTTATTTCTAACTCTTTTGTTATCGATGGTATCAGTGGTACGTTAGGCATATTTTTCTTGGCGTTTGAGCTACAGCTTAGCTGCTCGGGTGATTGTCGTGCGGAATAGTTGTCGTTCACGTCCAGCAAATCGAGCTTGAGAAAGTTCATGTTGAAATCTTCAAACGTCTCACAATCCGCTTGGCAGTTCTCGCTTTGATTGGCACCCGAAAAGCTCAAATCGGAGACATCTGGTACACTAGCATCTTCAAACATTCGAAAATATCCGAAATCGTCTGGCGAACTGGTGTCCAGCTGGCGAATCGGTGAACGATTCGCTAGACTGTCATCCGAAGAACTTGGCCGACTGTCACCTGTAGAGCCCAGTGAACCGACAACCGTAGTGTTTTGATTGTATAATCTTGGACCTTGATATAAAAACGAGGGGTCTGTTTGATTGATAATTGAATGGCTTGGTAAATTGCCATTCGGATGCTGTTGGAAAAGTTTCCCCGGGGAAAAGTGCCTCAGGAACCTCTCCGGGCTGGGACTTGAGAATGATCGAACTTTTTTCACATTACTAAGTCTTTTTGGCGTAAAGTATTGGTCTTCTTGTTTCCGAGGTTTATTTATCATCTGAAACACATTCGTGTTGTTTATTTCAAATTTGTGGAATAAACACCGATTACTGTTCAAAACTGTAAAATAGTTCTTAACAAATGATGAGTTGTAACTTATTCAGAAAGAAACGTACAGTTTGTACTCGAGATTAAAGCTCATGTATGAATAGAAAATTATTTGTAAAATAATTAATTTTAGTTGAAATTATAATTGAACTGAACTTTTTCATTAAAATTTTACATTTTAATTTTAGTTACAATTTAAAGAGAAGTCAATTAAACAATTTCTTTTCAGGAAGTTGAGTATATTGTGCTTAATGTATTTATAAGATTTTAAAATATGCAAATCTATGTTAATTTAAATATTCTTCTACAGGTTACAAAAAATATATTACTTACTTGCATGAAATGACTTGCATGACGGTTGTAATCTGCCTTATTGCGAGGAGATTTGTATTGATTCATGGTGGTGGGCAAAAATTTGTGATAAAATTCAAAGGAAATGTCCCGTGCCGCACTACTGAAAAATCTTGTTTTCCTGAAACGATAATTACGGCAAGATATTGAAATATTGCTATATTGATCAGTATTTCATTGCTTTTTTTACATTTTACCGATGCATTACTATTTTTCATTTCAATCGTCATTTATTTATGCAAATATCGTGAAATCAAATGATTCAAAAATATCGAATTTAAATAATTACGCTCCGTTTTCATCTTGTAAATTTAACTGAACTTTGGTATTCAGTTTAAAAAAGTCGAAAGTAAACTAAATTTGTATCGAAACCGATAAAAATTATGATTTTAATTAAAATTGAGAAAAATAATCTCACACTCAAATTTACTCGGTCATTTGAAAATATATTTCTGCTTTATGGAGAGCATTTAATAGAAGGCAATGTAAAACTGGATACTGAATTGACCTTCATGTTTATTCGTAATAAAGAAAACGCGATCTCTTTTGCGCGATACATGTTTTCGTATACATATTCACAACACTGAAGATTCAATTCTTCAAAGTTATAACGGTTTTAACCTTTGGCAAGATCAGCTTGCCGACTAAAATCAATTTTACGTAACACTCGGATATTTAAAAGCGCATTTCATCTCGCGAATGTTATCGAGACTTTTCTGTTGCGCGTAGAAAACTGTACTGTTTGCGAATCTGCGCACTATCTGACTGACATTTTGGAAACAATCGAAGCGATGATTCGATCGTTAATTAAGAATTATGAATAAGAATTTTGAGAAAAGATGTAATATTAGAAATTCCCGATATAAATGACAATTCTTCTTGATATTTTTCGCCAGAAAAGCTTGATTTTATGTATCAAAGAATTTAAAGAGCATTAAAGAGAGTCAGAAACAATATATAATCCGGATTATGCACGAAATGATTTTATCGCGATCGCGAATCTATCCGAAATTCGGAAATCGATTTAATCGACGTATAAAGATCAATAAAATTTGAAAATTCCGCTCAAATCGCATAAGTAATTAACTCTACCATTAATTTCTACCTGGTCGATGCTCTGGAAATAAACCTTCGTAACGATAATTGTCGATGTTCAAACCACCACGACCTGTCGTTCGCAACTAACTGATCATTAAATCTCTTGTTGACAAAGTTCTATCTCAAAATCGCTACGAGGTCACTTTGTATAATATACGGAATATACGGTGTATCCTAATTCCAATACATTGGTTTTGATGGTAAATTTCTCGATTAATTTAACATCAATCTTTTCTTAGCTAATGATAAAAAAATTGACAGGCGTATTTGTTATTTAAATAGAAGATTTTAATACTATATATTTTTTAAAGTCTTGTCTTAAAATCTTATTTAAATCAAATTAATTAAAGAATATACTTTTGTCATTTGCTCTTTTGCGCTAAAGAAATCTTTAGATAATGTATTTTAGATGAATTTATCAAATAGGAAAATTATATTTAAAGTATTATTTCTCTCTCTGTATTAACGTTTCATAAATAATACATAAAGGTTTCATATATATATAATATTTTGTCATTAGATTTCATATCAGGACGTGTATATGCAAAAAAGTTTACTCATTTTCCAACGTAATAAACACGACAAGCAACAAGTCCATGTTTACCACACGAGATTCTCTGGATTAATTCCAAAATGATAAGGTTCATGTCCTTTCATTTTAAAATCATATTAAATTTTGCAATCTCGCAAAGCAAACGCCCACTTAAAACTATTTATGTAATCATAAATCAGCGCGTTACTTTTTCACGACTTTATATCTATTCGCAAAAAACACTCTTGTAATGTCAGTTATAACTTGTAAAAACGGAAATACTTACCAGACGATTACAAGTGATTTTACTGATGTTAATTTTATCTAAACTATATCTATATAATTTGTATCGTTATTATCTTTATTTATACCTTATTTATCTATATCTTATTTATCCTATTTGTCTATATCTTATCGTTACGATTTAAATATCTCCTCTTTTCGATATAATTAATCCAAAAAAAAACGTTGTTCGTTAAAATGTATATGCAAAATATATATATGTACAAGTTATATATCGATCTGATAGTAAAATAAATACAATTTTCGCGATAATTAAAAATGGAGACGCGAGAATAATGAAAAAAATGAAATTGTTCATTTGCACGAACGAAAGTAATAACAGGCACAATAGATCATCAAATTTGTGCCTTTTTCCGGTTGCTTGATGGCATTCGGCGGACGGTATTCTTGAAATCGCCATGGCGACCAAGGTCAGATCCGTTTTTCCTCTAGAGAATAAAGGGAGGAAGGAGGAGAAAGTAAAATGGCCGATATCTGCGTGTAAATGTGTCGCGTGCGAACGCGAGCGCGAACGCGCGTATGCCATCGTGTGGTTGTGCGGGCATGCGTGGATATATTCATCTAAAATACATTTACAACGGGTGTGTTACCTGTTATATATGTATACTCGTATAATTTGATCGAGTCTCGTCGGTAGCAAAATCTTTTGTTCTTGTTCATGGATCAATTTGCGTATGCGTGCGTGTGTATTAAAATGTTTATACAGTTTTTATTGAATGCAATAACGATAATATCGTTAAGGGTCTATCTTAAATTTCATTTTTTAACATTCCTTTATATTTTCGATAATCTTTCTTGTATTCTCTGTCAAGTTTTGCATCTTTAACGACGCGTGGGGAGAAGAAATTATGTGTATCTTTCATAATTTCTCCAATTTCAGATATTTTTTAAGTACTTTTCCAAGCTCAATGTTTGATATCTTATCCATTGAACCAGGTTTGGATAGCATTTACAATTTTTTCGATAAAAAAAGGTCAAAGGTTTTCCCGGTTTCGTTTTCACTGATGGGCGCCGAGTGGCATCGTCCGCTACTTTCGCTCTCGTTCGAGTTTCAATGTCGCACAAAGGAAACGCTCTACGGTACAGGATAACGCGACACGAGGAATTGCAAAGATGTAATATTCCTCCATGCATGTTATAGAAATAGGTACAAAGACAATACAAAATACAATACGATAAATTCCATAAAATCTAGAAAATATAAAAAAATCTAGATAAGTAAATAAAGCAATACAAGCAATAATAATAAAAATATTAATAAAACAAATAAATAAATAACGCTGCGTAAATCTTACCTTTCGTACGAATGCTCTTCCGCAAAATAGTCGAACTGACGTGCAGCGAGCATGCCTCTCGTAATGAATGTATCTGCGTGCTTTTTCAAGATTTAACGCCTTCGATGACTGGACACGATACAGCTGGGCTTTACACGAAGTGTCGGACGCAGGTGAATAGAATCTCGGTGTTTCTCCGACTGTGGAAAGAAAATCATAAACTCTATTACGTGTAATTTTCTTTGATGACTCAACTAGGGAGATAAAAGAGCTTTGTTAGCCGGCTTGTCTCGCGTAAGCTTGAGCTCGACTACTTAACAGCGAGAGTAGTCGAGCTCGGCTTGTTGGGTCTACTGGATTGGGAATGGCTAGAACACTTTTGACAACCTTTTATATTGATAACTTTAGGCTTCTAATTTTTCTCCATTTCTATAATAATTATTACTCTCCTCCCCCCCACGCGATTATACCCTCCCAACTTTCATTCAATTCTTTCATGATCTGTTTTCGATTGCTACTCGTGTTTTCACTTTTTCTGTTACAAAAGTTTTTTAATATTTATGAAAATGTCTTCTACAAATTATTTCTCTGTATAAATTATCTTGATTATAAATATAACATTATATAAAATTATAATTTTATTTTATATTAAGTTATATTAAATTATATTTATATTATATTAAATTTAAAAAGAAACACTATATTAAATTTTGGAGCAACGCTAAAAATAAAAGTTTGATGGATGTAAATCGGGGAATAAGAAGGACAGAATATAAATTCAAAATACTATGAAATGTTTAAAGAATGATTAACAAAATAAACAAATAGCATCATTGATAAGCATTACTGGCGAGAGAGAGATTCACGAAATTCAATTATATGATTTCGATATTTTACAAAAAAATTATCCAGATAGAGAAATGGTTAATGCAGTTGTCGATGCGTCAAGTTCGAAGATCGAAAAACGATAATGGATTTCGCACTATTGTTTCAGCGTGGGACGCGCGTAACAAGATCATAATTTAATCAGGTAGACGGCAATTTAAAAAGTTCACAGGTACAACTGTCGATACAATAGTCGCGTTTTTTTCCGCGTGTTTCCTTCCTCGACGATCGCGCACGATGCAACACGGGTATTTCCGTTACAGAGATTCCAGGATTCGGCCGGAAGAAGCATCCGAAAAAAGAGAAAGGAGCCGCGGAAAGCACTCACTTGACGTGTACGCGCCGGCAAACGCGAGCCATCGCTCGTCGGGAAGGACGTCGAGAAAAAACTTGAGGAGCAACACCACCTCCCGCGTGACGGAGACCGTCGGGCGAGGATCTCTCGACGTGTGTGTTTTTTTCTCTCCTTTATGCGAGTCACCCCCGAAGCCGGGTCGCGGCGAGCCGAGCCGGCGCGCGAGAGGAACAAGACTGGTCCGCCCTTACTCCGGCTCGCTCTACCTCTGAATCACCCGCGTCGCCCACGTATCGCGATGCCGGGGGAGCAGCGTAGGTGACTTCTCGCAAACCCCTTCCCCGGGCAACGCCATGCGGTTTCGCGACGAGGCGCCTGCGCCCGGAAACCATGAATGGAGGCACCCGCTCAATGCCGGGCAGGACTTTTATTTGCTCGCTCGCGGGAGCACTGCGGCATCCAAACCCTCCCCTTCCCGTCCCTTCCGTTCCCCTTCTTCCCGCAACGACGACGATGACCTTCAGCCACCAGCCAGGGTCGATCGGACGAGTCAGATTTCATCCCGAGGAACAGGTGTTGCATTGAATCACGCAGAAGCGGTCAATCCTCCGTGAATCGTGGATCATTGAACATCATCAATGAGTTGTCCTCAAGTTTTACTTCTCGTAAAGCTATGAAACTGTAGAACAAATATTGTAAAGCGATGATTCTTTATTATTGTTAAATATAATTTTATCACTTTTCAAGAAAGTGCAAGAGAGTCGAATATGTCGATAATCAAATTTAATACTGTCCAAAATTACATTCGAAAATTTAAATCGATCATTTCAATATCTTCGTTAAATTCTACGAAAAACTTCAGTAATAAATCATTAAAATTCAATCTCAAAAATATTTAAAATTTCTATTCTCGAAAAATTCTTTAGAGGAAAAGGAAAGTATTACTTTTCAAGTCTCTTTCTCTATCCTAAAATTCTCCATTATCCGAATAATTCGTGAAACGAAGAGATAAAGATATGTAAGAATAATCAAAATATATCATATATAGATATGAATGATCTCGTGAAAAGAAACGCGATGTCACTCGCGCGGCGATATCGGGAAAGCGCTGAACGAGATACTAAGAATTAGCGGGTGCAATTTTATGAATGGGCGTGAGGGATCACGCGGTGGGGGGTGTCTGCTTTAACGATCGAGCGCACCCCCGCTCGCTCCATCTCATTCTTTCTCCCTTTTCCCTCGTTTCGTTTGAGATCTTTCTCTCTCGATTCATCTCTTCCGATACGTGATTTCATTCTCTTTCCCTTTCGCCGACTCTGCGCACATGTACGTGTGCGCAATTGTATCGGTCGTATATTAGTCGGCCATTTGCAGATGAACGATACATGCGTGTGCACAGCGCACGTGTACGTACATATCTCGACGAGGGTGAGTTTCGCGTGCATGCTCTTTTCACATACGTGCACATATACACACGCGTAAGAATACCTTCGCATAGCTGGGAAAGCGATAATGGATATCAATCAAAATTATTTATGCAATTTTGATAGCTAGTATTATAATTGTTAAACGCGTGGGTTGAATTGAGAATTAATCCTAGAAATTTGAAATCGAAAAGCCATATTACAAAATGAGACTGGAAGATAAATGAAGAGTAGGATAAAAAAGAGGTGACTTAAAAAGTATGACTCCATTAATATGAATGATATTTTAATTCGCATAATAGTGTGAAATTAAATTTTAAGAAAATTCACAATTTCCCAGTGTCACTTGCATGTGCAGGATACAAGCTTTTAATAAATCTCTGGCGAGTACGAAACGTCAGAGTGTTCTTTTTGTTTTCAGTAAAAAAGTTAATTAATTTAACAGGACCTGACATTTACCGGAGAAGAAGATTCCTTTGTTTGTTCCATGCGATAGAGGATAGGGATGAAGAAATTGTACATTAATTTTCGTAACCCATTGCGATAGAACCTGTAGTAAATATATATACGCAAAAATGGCTTTTCCACGTCCTGTTCTTTTTCAAACTTTTTTATGCACACAGCACAAGCTTATTCTTATTTATTATTAATATTTATTTATTAATTATTATGAAAATATTATATCAATTCGATTGGATAATTTTAAATATTTATTAAAAATTTTCTCTCATAATTAGTAATTTAATCCAGCGTTACAATTCTGAATACATAAGAAAAGCATTAATTTATCATGAAAGTGAAACAAAAGTATTAATATAACTTTGGCCAAAATTTATGAACAAAGTATAAAAAGTTGTTAAAGTAGATAGCTTAGGAACTTGTGTATATATGTGTGAGATATACATATTATACAATATCTTTATACCTACATATATCTAATAAATTATGTCATATAACATGTATATAACATATGGATCCACTTATATAATGCATAATATATGCAATTATTATGCTTTTATGTATATATATTCTTATTAAATTTTCCATGATAATGATTATTTTAACAGTAAATTTAATATATCTGGCACGAAATTCTAACATAATTTATTTCGTCAACGAAAAGTTAATTACCGTGAGCTTTTAGGAAACAATATTTGAATTCGATCGAATATAGTTTTAACGTCCCGAACACAATAATTCGGAGATACCTAGATTCTCCTGGCATCGATGTGTAGCGAATATCATGATTCGGAGGGGCGGAAGTTGCCCGGCGTGAGTGGGTGGGACGTCGATGAACGAATGTCCCCACCAAAACTACCCGGCGCTGAAAGGAGCGTAGGAGTTTCCAAGGTCATCGCAAGAGCAAAACTACGTAGTACGACGCCTCCGTCGCGACGCCCGCGCACGAAGCGTAGGCGTAAAACATACGTACATGAACATTAGCTATAAGACATTTCATATTGTCAATGACGATTAATTGCCGCATTTCCACACGACATTTCGTGTAATTATGGCGAACAATGTATGTAAAATCGAATAAACGATTGAGAAAAATTGAGAATAATTTCTCATTGATAATAGAATTAACACATGATTACTCTACAAAATTATATACATAATAATAATAATAGCTCAATAAATATGTGCGAGCAAAACAATAAATTCAAATGCAAATGTTGCAGAAATTCCAACATTACTCTTTCGTATTATTTTTATCGTTATATTATTGATGATTATTCAAAATGCTGTGTGAAAAACACGTTAAAAAGATATTTCTTAAATTATCGAAAACAAAAATTGCGACAAAATAATATTGAATAAAAAATCAGGCGAGGAAGTTTACATTTGCTCAAAAAACTTATAACAATTATTTATAAAAATATAAATAAATAATATTTTTGATAATTCTGGCCATTATAAATTTAATACTCAGATATCAAAATTCGTATACATACTATTTTATAAATTATAAAAATAAAGAAATGCAAGTCATATATAATTAAAATATTCAGTTTGATAATATATGAATTTCAAACTTTGAATGTTATATTCGTTACTTGAAAATTATTATTTAAGAAGAATTGTTTGAAAATTAATAATTATTGTAAATATTTTATAATCTTTATAATATTTTATAATGTCAATTATTAAAAATTTTTGCCATTATCTATTTTGTGTTAGCAAATCTCATTTTTAAAATGGATTTCTAACAATTATAATGGAATATAAAATAAATTTTTGTGATGATCTATTTCATAAAAATATTTAGTACTAATCTTTTATAGAATGTACCAATAAATTATATGTTATCTGCATATCTCGAATCGAGAAATATTCGAAAAGCAAGGCGATTCAAAAATTGTAAATAAGTTTAACAAACACGAATGGTATTTTTGCCAGTTACAATTACAACACCGTTATCTTGCAAGTCTTTCAGAGCGTCTTCGAACATTTCTCGCGTCACCAACTAAAAAAAAAACACAGGATTAACCAAACATACATTCCCTGGACAAATGCATATTAGAAATAAAGTAAATAATAAAATACAAAAATAGATGAAAACAAACATAGAGTGAGATACATAAATAATGAATAAACTCACCATACTAGATGATTCTTTCAATTCCATGAAAATTTTCTGATAGTTCAGCGTCGGTGTCTTATCTTTGCCTTTAATGAGCTTCTTTAATGCTTCCACTAATTCCTGCCTACGTTTTCTCGCAGCTAACGACATGCCGGTCGTTAGGATACTAATATCGATTTTGCCACTTAGTGGATCGATAGCCGATTGCTTCAACGCCTCTCGATGTAATCTGACGATAAAAATGTTATAATAATCGCATCATTAAAAATAAAAATATCATTAATCCATTTATGTAATATCTAGCCACGTTTTATCTCTCACCTCCAAGCTTCCTCGACGTCCACAATCTCCACTATATTGCTGAATCGCATCTTAGCGTGTGCTTCAGCAAGTCTTATCAGCGACTCCAGTTGTCGTGGATATGCTGTGATTTGTCCGTGACCGCTTCCTACTCTGCGCATATCAACATAAGCCTGGATCAATCTCTGTTGGCTCTCTTCATTGAGAATAGGATGAACGTGTTCCTTAGCATAAGCTATGTAATCACGTAGAATGCTCATGTCCACAATGTCATCTTCTTCCTCTAGATCAGATTTATAATACAGTGATACCAAATGTCTGGCGAGTTTTCTATCAAATATCTCATCTTGAGGATCCAGCATGAGAAAAATTAAGTCAAAACGTGACATTAATGTATGCGGTAACATGACATTTTCTATCACCTAAAAACAAATGTAAAGATTTGTAATAGTGCTCATTAATTCGATATCATATTGATAATATGGTTATATGTTCAATTCATTCAATATCGATAATTCAATGGATATTTACTGTTTTATTTTTATTCCATTGCGACTCGCAAGGATTGGCCGCTGCCAAAATACTGGTTCTCGCATTTAATTGACAGATAATACCCGCTTTTGCAATACTCAGTGTTTGTTGTTCCATAACTTCGTGCAGTATCGAGCGCGTACTATCATTCATTTTATCGAACTCATCAATGCAACAGATACCGTTATCAGCTAGCACTAAGGCACCGGTTTGTAATACTAATTGACGAGTTTCGGGGTCTTTTGTTACGAAAGCAGTTAGGCCAACGGCGCTGGAACCTAAGAAAAAGAAATTACATACATGAAATATATGAGCAAGTATTAAATTAAATATGATTATCGTTATCAAAAAGTATATTTATACCTTTTCCGCTGCTATATTGTGAGCGCGGTACCAGATTGAAGACAAATTGTAGTAGCTGCGATTTACTCGTACCCGGATCTCCACATAAAAGTATATTTATTTCGGACCGAAAATGTTTCTCGCCCGATTTATTCTGTTTTTTCTTTATCCCGCCGAATAATTGCAGCAATATTCCTTTCTTCACATCCTCGTTTTCATAAATGCTGGGAGCAATGTGTCGCGCCAATCGTTCGTATACATCTTCCTTTTGCGACAAGAGTTTTAATAATTCTACTCTCTCTGGTGGAAATGCGTGTTGCTTGTCGTCTTCTTGTTCGTACAGTCTATATGTAACCAACAAGTAACAAAAAATTAGCAAAAGATAATAATAATTAATTTATATAAACTACATGTACAAATATTTTTTTAATAAAATTCAAATAAGTGTGAAATCTGAAATGTATCTTACCGCTTCGAGTCTTGTTTTCTGAAGTGGACAACATCAACGTGCGTTCTATAAATAGCACGTACATTAGATTGTCGTGGATTAACGCGTATCGGTAACGCGCGATATATACCGGTGATGGAAATTCTGTCACCTGGTGAAACAGCGTCAACTAAATTATTATGTGCGAAAAGCACCACTGTATGAGGGGTTTGACCAGCCGGCATATCGTCCGGCGATTCTTGCAGTTTGATCATTTGCTTGTCTGAGAAATGACTGCGATTGTGTATCAAGTTAAAACAGTAATTGTTGTTGCAATGGGTGCATACCGTTGGCTCGGCTATGTGACCCCTATCGATCTCCACAGTCGTCGTGAAAGAACATACAATACACTTGAAGAATGCTTCTCGCATCTCTGGCATGATATTTGATGTTCTAATGACCATACCAGTGATCGTGATCAATTGATCTATGTCTTCTGGATTCAGAAGACGCATGCTTTTGGTTCTGGTAACATTGTAGGGTCGTACTTGAATTTGATGTTCCAATACCGCTGCAGGATGTCTCTCAAAGAACATTTCATTCGCAGTCATGTCGAAAGCGGGTATCACTTCCTGAGGATAGCATACCAATCGGTTGTAAAGCTGTTTGTCAAATGCCTCAAGATGAGCACAATTTATATTCAAGAAAGGTGTCTCAAGCGAATGTATCTCTTCGAGTTTTTGCAAATAAAGTGGCTCTGATAGATTCATGTTCTCAGGCAATTCATCATTCTCTGCTTCTGGATCGATAAAACGCAAGATAAATCGTTTAAATTGTTCCTTACACTGATCCACTACAACATTTGTACCCCAAATTACCAACTGTGGACCATTCTCAGTTTCTGATGTTCTTTGAACATTAGGTTCTTCTGGTATCTATCAACAAAATTTATTTATGTTAATAATTTAATAGTATTTACATATTAATATTGCTACACAATTTTAACTCACTTCAGCCAAGTTAACTTGTCGCATACGTCTATCAGACTGAACATCTGGCCTCTGTCGCACAGGAGTACCTCTAATACCACTGCGGGGAGTACGAACTGATACCAAGGAACTAGGTGTTCCATAATTCAATGGAGAGGACAATTCTACTTCGCTCATACCCGCAGCAAGAGGGCTTGTTTGCGCTTTCGGAGAGGACAATGGCACAGAGGAAGGACCTTCTGACGATGGTGCTATGGTTTCCTGTGCACGACGACTGCCCCATCGCAATGGAGTATCTACCGGATTGTCTGGTCTTCTCTGAGGCGTACCTATATATGACAAATATAAATATAGTTATATTTTATTAACATAATTAATTTAATATACAATTATATTTTACATATCCTTGAGGAATATCGAGGAAAATATTTCATTATAAAATATTCTTCAACCTTGTCTCGTAGACGCGGAACCAACAGTGCTAGGTGTTCCAGCAATCGAAAGCGCTCTGGCAGAGGTTGGAGTCCGAGGCTGTCGTCTTGGCGTGCCATTATCATCCTGCGGGACAGGAGTCCTCGGCGGTCTCATTGGACTCGACATGGTTGACAGATTCCGACAATCTTATATTCTCGTTCCAAAGTATATTTCAAGCGCGAGTAACCTGCACACGCCGCTTGGTTTCCCGCGCAAATGCGAGAATAAATTCATCAAGAGGGCGCTGATGTCAACAGACAGTGAGTTTTTTTACATTGGCTATATCCTGTATACTTCATTCGTGTATTCGCCAATCAGCTGATCGACGTGCGCGCGCGCATCGCGAATAGATTGCCTTTTTAGCTGAGCTAGAATGGAATGAAATGAGATAGATATGTATTCCTAAGTTGAAAAGAAAAGGAGGAGAGGCAAAAAGTGTAAAAGACCTACCAAAAAGAACAATCCTAGATGTGAACGTCAACGCGTATCGAGGTCGAGAGATAGGTGATGGTAGGCGGAGTACATACACATATGCTGTGATGCAGTCAAATGATGCAGTCGAAAAATGTTCATGTCAATTGTTCGTAGACGTCACGAGCAATTGGCTAGACACGAGTCATAAATGCAATTTGACGAAGTGGATAATGTTGTGTGACAGTTAAATCTATCCGAGATTTTCATTCTCGGAACATGATGCCTCATGTTTACTCCAAGTTCATTCATGATCGCGTCTGAGATGAATCAATTGTTCACGACGTAGTACGTGATAATCTTTATAAATTTCTTCGCACTTAAATCACGACGTCTGTTCTTCGTCATAAAGCAAAATCCTTTGTTACAAATTCCGTAAGTACTGCCTCTTGTAATAAATGCAATTGTTCAGTATGAAGAGCACTTTGTCTATTTGTAGTCGAGCAGTAAAATTTCGTCAGTGATAGAACATTGATACATAATCTATGATGTAATCTATGATGTAAATTATTATGTTTAATTTCATATTATTGTTATACTGCATTTCCTTGTTTGAAATACCTTTATTGAATATTACACAATTTGTTATCTTATCAGGAAAGAGTCATGTATTCCATCAATAGGAGACCTTTATTAGGGGGCGCATCTGATAGTGAATTCGAGGATGATATAGAAACCGAGGTAGATGACTCTAATATTTCAATCCCTGATGAGAAACCATTTTTAAAATCATATGAACCACATGACAAGTATGTTTTTTTCATAATCTTGAAGTTTAATTTAAAATTCATTTGCTAAAGTCTATAATTTTCCCTTTTATATATTTTAGGTATAATTTTGCATATATTGTATTTTACTTACTTGGAATAAATACATTAATTCCATGGAGTTTTTTTATTACTGCTGATGATGTAAGCGACTGATATTTATTTTTTTTTTAATTATGTCTGAATTATTATTGACTATGTAATGTTTCCAGTATTGGATGTATAAATTCAGAGAAATTCATAATGTGACAAATATTACTCATACATATGCAGAATTATTTGAAGAAAAGACGGATCTTCAAGCTAGTTTTACATCTTACTTAAGTATAGCCAGTGCGTTGCCAAGTACTCTTTTTTTAATAATAAATGCATTTATTAGTAAAAGGTGGGTAAAGTTATCAAGTAAAATTTAATTATTTAAAAATAATTATTTTAAAACATGCATTTATCTATGCAGAGTCATTTAATGTTGTTACTTATCTTTGATTATTCTTTTGAACTTGAAAACACTATTGAAATTAAGTTAAGAAAAATTAAAAGAAATTGCACACACAAAAATATTACAATCATGTAAAGTATAAATAATTATAATTATATATAATATAATAATTATATGTATAATTATAATTATATATAATATATAAGTATATAAAATTATAATAAAATATAATTTCATTATATAATTAATTATTTTGTTGCAATCTTTTTATATATTATATAAAAAAAAAGAATTATAAATAACTTTAAATGTGCATTAAAAAATATATGTATTGTTTAATAATTAAAGTTTTTGAAAATCCAGAATCTCTCTAACTGTAAGGATGGTGGGTTCACAATGTACAATATTGTTGCTATTTATAATGACGACTACATTTGTCGAAGTGAACACTGACAAATGTAAGAGATCAAATTTTATTTTGTCTTTATATCCATTATGTCTTGTAATAATTATAACTACTTTTGTCACTTTAGAAATAAAATAAAACTTCATTTTTAGGGCAAAATCAATTCCTAATTATTACTTTGGCAACAGTTGCAGTTGTAAATGGTATGTATATGCTTTATATAATTAAATTTGTAATAAAACTATAATAATTCCAGTAATTATATTTTGCTATAACTATTATTATAATAATATAAAATTCCAGCTGCAAGTGCCATTTTTGGAGGGAGTCTTATGGGTATAGTAGGAAAATTTTCGCCGAAATATATAACTGCTATGTCCGGCGGACAAGCTCTCGGTGGAATATTTACAGCCCTAGCAGAAGTATGCTCCTTGTGGATAGGCGCTAGTCCGGCTCTTTCCGGCTTGATGTATTTCATTATCGGTGATATTGTGCTCCTGTTATCGTTGATCGCTTATATCATATTAGAGAGAGCGGTAAGCCAATTTTACTCAAACATATCGCGAGATTAACTCGCTGAGTTTTTAACTACTAACCATTGTCATATGCGAAATGAGATTATCACTAATATTCATAACATTTATATCGCGATGATACAGTTGTTCTATAATGTATGCAAAGTTACTTATATGATAAAATAAGTCGCATTATGCGTCACAGTAGCATATTGTATTACTACACAATTTACTTTGTCAAGAGATAGGATTAAATTCGATGACTCGAGGAATTCTCAAGTTTTTTTATATTCTATCAATCGGATTCGCGAAATCTACAATTTGAATCGTTACTCTAAAACTATAAAAACTATAAAAACAATTCTTTATTTTTTTTCTTAGCCGTTTTTTAAGCATCATATAATAGAAAAAGTACCTGATCGTGCGAAATCTGATTATTCGATAAATGGGGAAGTCAGTTTCTCGACAGATTCGAATGTATCATATACGAGGATTATAAAAAGGATCTGGCATTATGGCATTAGCATATTTCTTGTATTTTTTATAACGCTGGCTGTATATCCGGCGATCACTGTGTTAGTGGAGAGTCAATACAAGGGAAAAGGCCATGCATGGAATGGTAAGCTGAGATTTCTGCAAATATATTTCATTATAATGTTCTTCGCGCGATTTGAAACAAATAAATTTATGGATAAAAGATTTGAAATGATTCTTTTAGATATATACTTTGTACCTGTGGTAACGTATCTTATCTTTGGTTTAGGCGATTATGCCGGAAGAGTATTATCTGGTATTTTTCAATGGGTGAGAAATTTGTATCTTAATTTGTAAAGTTGCATTGCATTGTTTTTATGCGAAATGTTTCTACTAATTGTTTTGTCATTGCAGCCAAAAGGTAATCCGTGGCTCGTAATGTTTATGAGCGTCGCTAGAAGCGTTTTTATACCTGTGATTATGTTTTGTAACGCGCAACCAAGACATCATCTACCTGTTTATATTCATAATGATATATATTACATATTGATAACTGTTATGTTCGCCATAACCAATGGATATCTGTGTAATTTAACATTTATTCTTGTACCCACGTAAGTATCATCAACTATAAAAATGTTTTAATTATGTACAAAATATTTTGTGCTATTAATTGATATGTAATTTTCATAGAATTGTGGATAGCCAAGAAAAAGAAGTTGCATCTGCAATGATGGGAGCTTTTCTGGGTATAGGATTAGCATCTGGTGCACCACTTAGCTTGTACATGGTAAAAGCTCTTTAATGTCCTAATTGAAAATGAATGTAAATGAAATATGTGATTTCACTGCCCATTTTGTACATTCCCAATCAGGTAGAATCATAAAACAAAGTATTTAAATCTCTTATAAATATATAACGATATTAATAAAATGTAAAATATATCTTTAGCTGTATTCTCGATTGCTTATTGCTTCAAAATGTTGCTGATAATTTGCAGGATTTACATTTACATTTTTCATTTTCTTGTGGATAAAAATTCTCGATGATTTTACTAAACATTCGAGCAGATTTCTGTGTCAAATATAATTTTTATGATTAGTTTGATGAACTTATTATAATTGTATTCATTCATGATACAATTATAATGATATAATTATATTGATTATTGATTATATTATATTAACAATTATTTTCATATGTAACTATATATATATATATATATATATATATATATATATACACACATATATACATATGAATATAAATATGAATATACAATACATATTTTATAGATACATATGTATAGAATGATATAGTAACGGAGAAAATTTCATATTATTAGAGTACGTGCGATTTATATAATTTGTAACATATTTATTATATAGGATAAATGTGACTATACAAATGTTTATGTAATATGTATATAGAACAAAAATATATAAAGTATTTCTGATTTTAGTCATTGTGTATTGTAAAATATATATATTTATTTTTAAATACTGCATCTATCTACAACATCAGATCAATAATTAGAATATATATCATATATATATCAAATACAAATATATATCATATATATATATATATATATATATATATATATATATATATGATATATATATTTGTATTTGATATATATATGATATATATATATATCAAATACACATCAATAAATCCAGAAACAAAAGATACATCATATATTATGTATTATATAGTCTTATTATACAGAAAAACAATTTTATATATAATTTTGTTAATAAAAAAACTGCTTAATTATATAATTCTCTAATTATATAATTTCTCTTTTCGTTTAATTTGTACATTGGGATCTTGAAGAAATTTAATAAATAATTATCAAATAAATAATACAAATAGTCAAATGGAAAACTATACTTTAACTTTGGCTTAAGAATTTCCCAACAGAATTTCTTGTGTTTTACTTATACCATATAAATTAAAGCTTTTTTCAAACAAAACTGCAAATTGTAAAGTTACGATTTAAATATATCATAGCCACTAATTTAAATCTAATTCTTTCTCATAGTTATATTCATTATATATTATTTCAAGACTAGACAGTATCGATATTATTGCATACTTAAATACAAAGTAAAATTTTCGACAAACAAAAATTACAACAATATCTCGTCATTTCCTCACTAAAAAAATATAATAAAATTTATATATATATATAAAAATTTAACTAAGTGCTTATTCCAAAGCTGTAGAAATATTTTCTAATGCTAAATTTTGATATTTACAACAATTTTTAATAACTGTCTACTTGATGCATTTAAGGTGCTTCTATATATGTTTTTACGCGAATAGAGAGATGTGCATAATGTTAGAAAAATAAAATAATACTCGTAGTTATAAATAATAAAGTCACGCTCACTTATTGGAGCCGACACGTATCTCATGATCGACGATATTGTCGTTCCTTGTCGGTGAGTGGAACGAACATTACGCCTATTAGCGGCCGCTGTTTGATTTTGCCATCCAGAGTCTTGTCGATTTGCATTAAGGTTTGATCCGAATTTTCGGAGCCCATTGGCACTACTAAACGTCCACCAGGTGCTAATTGATCCACCAACTATAAATCACAAGATATATCGTTCTTAATGTTTATCCCAATACATCTGCGAATAATTTTAAATATTTCACTTACCGCTTGTGGCAATTCTTTGGCGGCTGCTCCCACATGAATAGCGTTATATGGCGCACGATCGGGATATCCCAATCTTCCATCACCAACTAAACAATTATAATCATGTTTAAATAATCTCATTACTTTGAAAAAAAAAAAGTAAAATTGTAACAATGCATATATTACTTAAAGTAAAGTTTTTAACTTGCCAACTAATTCCACACGTCCACTGCGCAGAAGTTCCGGATGGTCGTGCCTAATGTTTTCTTCGGCCATTGTTCGAAGCTCTGGAATATGATCGATTCCAACGGCTAATCCATGTGATCCTAACATAATAGCCATACAAGCTGTCAAGTATCCTGAACCAGAACCAACATCCAATGCTCTCGCACCATCACGTAGTTTTTCTTCAAGCAATTCCAGGGCATACGCATGCTAAAGAATTTCAGTTTGTCTTCCAACTTGTAATTTCCTTTTTATTGTTTCTTTCATTTGTATGTGTATGTGTGTATATATATTCAGTTATTATTTTTAAAAATGACTGTACTTTAATTCTAAACAAATTTTTTTTGCATATCATACTTATTATAATTTTTTGGTCAATAAACAAATATACATTAAATATATACATTATATATAATATATAATATACAATATAATATACATTATATATAATATACAATATACATTAAATATATATATATATATAATAATTAAATATATATATATATAATATATATAATTTATTTTATATATATATAATAAATTATTGGCATTTTTAAAAATAAGTTTAAAAAATTATACCATATGAGGAGCACTAATGGTAACTCCGTAACCTATCCCTTGTGGAGAATCTATGTAAGCATGGCTAGGATGAGTATATTTTCCTCTGTCCACAGCATTCATTGCTTCAAACACTCTATCAGATTTAATCACCCTGGATCCTAAAGATAATTTTCATACATTATGTATATATATATATATATATGACGTAAACAATATATAAAAAATGAATAAACAGAAGTTTATAAAGTTTAAAAGTATCCATATGTTTTCGTAAATTATTCTGGTCAAAAAAACAGAGGAGCATTAGTTATTCATTTTTGTCTATTTAGTCTTTCAATTTTAAATTTGTGCGGTTTAGATATCAATTATAAAGAGCAGAATGTAAACATTCCGTGTTTTCATGGAATAAAGTACATTTTTTAACGATAACTCGCCAGAAAAAACATGTCTTAGCATCAAAACAAACAGCGTGCATCCACCGACATGTGGGACGATGTGACATAATATTGCATAACAGTCGCGCGACACTTACGCCTGAGATGTTGGACGAGCTCCTGATTGTTCCTACCGTGATAACGCCCGTACATAGCCATGTTGTACGTGAGCACAACAGGCGACAGGATCGCGAGCGTCGAGCAGAGGTACTCGACGACGCGGTACCGAATCCTGAGGAGGCGCGTGGCTGCGACCGGCTTGCCCGGCGAAACGATCCAGGCCAACCGGCGACTGTCAACCTACGTTCACCCGCTTAGTGGTCGCACCTCCGAGGCTATTTCTGGATACACGCACTCAGCTAGCTATCCGCTAGCTTTCGATTTCCTTGGAATATTCTCCTCGATCGCGCTTATTTCGATCAGCTTCTTCTCGCCAGTCGATTCGAAACAATCTTAGGATTTAGGACACGTCGTGACCGAGCATCACCGACGTTGATGATCTCACGACGATTCGACCGGATTGACACGATGGATTGCGAGATTGCCGGCAATTGTTGAGCAATCGCGCGAACCTATTGCGCACGTCACTTTTCAAAATAGACATTGAAACACTCCAGATTGCCGCGGATCTATAACTTGTCGTCGAGCGACTGACGATGCGATTGGGTAACGATTTTTGATTGGCGGATGCTGCGGGCATTGTTTGATCGATCCCTCGCGAATTTTCGCTCGATTATCTCGATACGCAATGCGCGCGGTTATTTAATTTATGAATAATTTGACATTTTGATGAGATATACATGTATACATGTGATCAAACATCCGTATAATTTTATTGTTTTAACGAATAAGATTGAAAATTGTTTGATAAGCTATCTTTGTGCTGATTTGACTTTTTAGAATTGTACGGCACTTGTTTGCATAAATCACAATTGTTTGATAAGCTATCTTTGTGATTTAATTTAATATGCTTCTGGTACAGTACTTATTTGTACAAATTATGTTATATATCATTTTTAACCGTGAAAATAGACTTGATATATAATATACGAGTAGTTGGAAACGATATACGAAAGTGTATATAAAATTGTATTTTATCTCTTATTATTAAAAAATTTATCTTTTTATTCATTAATTCGTTACAATCCTTTCTTTGCATAAAAGAGAAGACCTTAAGTATTTAATATATATTATATACATATATAAAATATAATAAAACAGCATGAATATCCAACAGATAACTTCCATGATTCGATTATCACAACCATGGAAGTTTCCATCAGAAAACTTCCATGATTGTGATAATCGAATTGCATTAAACATAAACAATTAAAACATATTCAAAACTGCAATTCGCAAAATATTAATTAATTTAAGTGGATTATATAAAAGAATTAATAGGGGAGGGAATATATATATATATGTAAAATATAATTTATTATATTTGCCTAATCGAAAACGGAGCATATTTCATATCTATGCATGCATGAAAAGAATTGATTCATGAATACAAATTCCTATTATATCGTTGATCGACGGATTGTTTAATCGCTTGCTCGAATTACGCGTTCGCTGCAAAGAAACCTCATTCTAAATATTCTAATTACGTAATTGAGTAGTAGGATCTGTGAGAGGAACGTAAGAGACTTGCATCAGTTTCTTCTTCGTGATCGTGCCGTCTGTATTCTTGTCCACCTGTAGCAGATCTTGAAACCTTTGGAAACCTTCTATAGCCACGACCGGACATATCAGTCGACCTCCGGGAGCTAGTTGATTTATTAACTGTAATAATTTGCATTATTTATATCGTGCAATTATAGCCTTTCTTTATGATGTATCTTTGTAAGTTTTCTATATACTGCTTATACGTTTACCTCTTGCGGTAAAGTATCGGCCGCTGCTCCAACGTGTATAGCGTTGTAGGGTCCATCAGCAGCGTGTCCCAATCTGCCGTCTCCCACTAGGCGCATTCATAATGACCTGTTGTTAGTCGGCAGTCTTTATCTTTTACCTTTACAGCAAAGCCATAGTCAGTGGACAGTGTTCCGTTCGACTCTTCACGGCAACGTACATACCTACTCCACGTGGACGGATCACGAGTATCTTTTATTCGAATTATGCATATAATACTTCTTGAACGTTTTCTTTTTTTATTGCACGATAAATTGTTACGATAGAATGACGAAAGAAAGACGAACATAACATTGACGCACGAAAGAGAAGAGCTTCGACTGTTAAAATTGACGTTCCGAGGTCGAGCAGTGAGGGATAATATTAACAAAGTACTGGCAGCTTACCGATAAATTTGATGCGGCTTTCTTTAAGAAAATGCGGATTGTCCTCGCGCACGTTTCTGGTGGAAATTTCTATGAGCTCGGGAATATGCTCGATACCGATTACGCATCCATGCGAGCCTACCATGTACGCCATGCAGGCTGATAGATAGCCCGAGCCTGAACCAACATCAAGTGCCTTGGCGCCATCAAAGAGTTGATCAGAGAGGATTGACAATGCGTATGCATGCTGCAAAAGATATAATATGCGTGATTTATCGATCTGTTATCGAGCGAAAAGAATTCGAAAAATATATTATCTTCAATGACACTTATCTATATATGTGATATGCCAATACTCTATTATTTAGAAAATCTGATTGTCACAAATCAAATATGAGCATAACATAAATAATATAAAGATGAGATAAAAGGAGAATCTGATATCCTCATTTTGAGTTACAATATTTATAATATCTTCATTCTATATAAACATTTTTTAAGATAAATAAATAAGTAAATAAGTAAATATATGTGTGTGTGTGTGTGTGTGTGTGTTAAAATCAATTTTATACAATAAATAGATATATTAAATAAAAGATCTATTATATATATAATAATCTCTATTTATATTTTATACAATAGATATATCAATATTTAAATATATATATATATATATATATATATATATATATATATAATAATCTCTATTTATATTTTATACAATAGATATATCAATATTTAAAAAATAATTAAAATGTATTAAGCAAAAACATCTATTACATATTAGAATTTTGTTTAAAAAAACTCTATAAAAATTGTATTGAAATAACTTGCTATGTAATCTTAGTAATTATATTTGCAAAAAATATTATATATGATTTTTATATTTTTTTTTTATTTAGTATAAGATAATATTAACAAGAGTGTAAGATAAATTAACAATTTTCTTTATTATACAAAAAGATATCGTCTTGTAAAATTGAAAATATTGGCAATTTAAAACATATGCTTACCATATGTGGTGCACTGATTGTCACATTGTAACCAATTCTCCTAGGACGATCAAGGTAAGGATCCGATTCGTGACAATATTTAGCCCTGTCAACAGTGAGCATTGCAGTTTCTGCCCTATCCGTTGCCAATATACCAGCATCTGTAAATAATCTATCCTTAATTGCTACATAAATAAAAGATTGTATCAAACAACAAGAAAGACTTAGTGCTATTGTTTACATTAATTAAGCCAGCTCTGCAATGATTACAGGAGGATCATTTACCTTTCAGCTTTGTCACCATCTCTTGATTTGTAGTGCCGTTGCAGTGCCATGCCATGCTTTGTTTGACTGGTCTCTTACGATCCACAGGCTTTATAGCATAGCCAAGATCTGTTCAATATAAAACAACATCTAAATTTCTGACAGATTGATAACAGATCTACAAGGACAATTCTAATGACCGTAATTGCGACAATTATTTGAAGGAAACGTTAACGAGAGCGATTAACGGATGAAGAAAAATGAAAGATTAGCTAAACGCACCTCGCAGACCTTCAAAAGAGTCTCATTTGTCGCGAAACGTCCTCATTCCTCTTGTATATTCGTGTTTAACATGGCCGTGAGGAGAATTACAGGTCATACACATACAGGTAGCGACCGTAGCGACCTTAAGGGAGTGTTACTGGTAGGGGTTATAAAACAGCTGATGCGGTACGCTTATCGATTTGCTCTTCTTGTTCGCGAGATAAGGAACTATGGTGACGTGCGATTTGATCGCGAATTTCTGGCGTTACGTGTCGTCAGATTTAAATGTCACCAGACGAATGACTTGGCAGCTTTGAACTTTCCGTGCCAAAAATTAAAAAAAAAATTATAAATTATAAAGTATTACTTCACGTCATTGAAAAAAATTTTGAATAAAATAATAATTCTTTATCCAATTTCAATGGTTTAAAACTGGATTAAAACTCTCGATAGATGACTTGAGGAATAACGAAATGAATGATCAATTGTGTTTTCACTCGAGAACAGATTACTTACCGAGAGAGTTCAATTACATAACTGTTGCAATTCTATTTGCGTCGTCGTTGTTATAAGGCATTCTGAGCGGTCGAGCGATTTTGCGCATTTTGGATGCGAGTTTCGTCGCGTCAGTTATAGATAGAAAATATTTTCCGCGCGAATTTCGTTCGACGGAAATTTGAAAATGACTTTTTCAAATAGCTCCGAAAATCTAATTGGTTACATACGAATAGATCCGTGTCACATGTTATCCAATATAAGATCGTATTGTAAGAATGCGTTCGGAATTCCTATCTATGTGACGGAATAGCTTTCAATTGACCAATCAGGATAGAGAAATCTTTGCTGTTTTTGTCCCAATTCAATCTACGGATAGAATTTCCGAACTCACGTTAATACATCACAGTTGGTACCGATGCAACTTCAAACAAACAATACGCGCGCAATATTTGAGAAAAGCTTGACAGATTAAACTTTTCTTAAAAAGTAATTCACTTGTAAACAAAATGTCTTTCGAAACTTTATGTATTTTTTTGGGAAATTATTAGTCTGATTGTTGTCATTTTTTAAAGAATCGTTTAGAAAAATAAATTATAAAATTTAATAGTTTGATTTAAAGAAATTAGTCTTATCAAAAATCACAAACGATTAAAATTGTACAAAAAATGCTAATTTTATATTCATAATTCAAATACCTATAATTAAAATTCATAATAAAACTTATTTAACCAAAAATACCAATCAATGTGTAATTAATATGCGAAAAAAATTATTCAAATATAGTAACTTGGTTAAAAAAAATACAAAGATAAGTATAGTTTTAGGATGATTTCGCAACTATATCTATTCTCTCTTAAGAGTATTAAAATGCAAAAACCAATACTAAAACATTATTATTCGCTTAATTTAAAGCAAATATTAATAGATTTGTTATTTTGTAATATAATTAATATAAAATATTTAACATTGATTAAAAACTTGTAACTAATGACTAAAATTAATTCCAAATTGCTTAATAAATCTATATAGACACATAAGATAGCTTGTAGTAAATCCTATATAAGTTTGTATATTTGCACTATCATTCGATATCATTCGAATAATCAAAAATTATGTATTTAGCGTACGCGTTATCAGACACACTTTTCATATATCACAATAAGCTCGCGCCAAGTCATAATTTTATCAATCAATTTCGAATTACTCAGTTGGACAGCGGCGTAAATTTTTCCATGAGTACAATATATCATTATGGATCACATTCGCATTTCACTACATGTCACAATGATTTAAAACTATAACGAAAAGGAGATAGCTCGAATTGAGGGATAGCTAGATCCCTCTTGAAAAGAGATTTTGCATTATCGTGATGTGATAATTAGCTTAAATATAAATAAAATGTTAACTACCCACCCAGGGAGAACATGAAAGTTATGTCATCATTATGACGTCATCATAATTTTATTTATCATTTAAAAGTTATCTAAACAAAAATGATTAAAAAATGAGTTAAAGATGACAAAAAGAATCATAAATTTTTAAGTTCAATAAGCGCATTATATAATTTTAAAAAAATTATGTTGCTTAAATATAATTAAAATATACATGAATAATTAAATAAACAAGTAATTGTGTAATATGTATAAAAAATGATATTATGATTGATTCTTAAGATTTCATACGCGAAGTATATATATTTTCCAACAGAGTTCGCTAGAATTGTTTAATATCAAAAATAAGTCACCAAAACATTGCCAAAAGTATATCAAATGAAATCATTATGATTTTTCTAAAATGATTTTTAGGTGACGTCATAATGATATCATTATGAGTTTCATGTTCTATCTGGAAACTACATCAACTTAAATTTCGCATAAAAAGAGAAAAGATTCTCTTTTAATTATAATTAATAATCTTAATATCAATCTCTTTAAATATATTAATAATGAATATTTCATTCACAGAACTGTCAGATATGTCAAGGATAATATATATATAAGGTATCTGAGATAAATATTTAATTAATTTTTTTTTCTTATCAGGTTTTATAATTTGAGTTATTATAGATAAAAAATCACTTTTCTTTCTCGATTTAAATTGTATAAGTAATATTTTCATTTGATAAGATATGATCTTGTCATCCTTTTTCTTTTCATTACATGTTTATGCAAATATATACATATACACATATATAAATATATTCTCGACATATGTAGTATTTATATGACAGTATTTATGGGCCAAAAATACTATAAACCCATCGGAAGAGTGATGATAAATCCGATAAAATAAAGTATTTGAGTAAAGTATTTGAATAAAGTATTTGAATCTATATGAATGCTATCGTAAAGAATACATGTCTTTTACTGTCTTCGTTAGCGAGAATGACAAAAAGATAAGGATCCCCTTCCGACAAGAATATGCGCGAGTAGCGATCACTATAAATCAAATTAAAGCACATGTGTTGGTCGTATACGAGATGTGTCGTATACGAGACTGTTTGTACTAATATATTAGTTTTTCATCGTTTGCGCTTTCTGTCCCTTCTCGAGTCAGTCGACAATCGAAACACGCTACCGTTGCGATTGCACTTTTTGAAAGTACGACGTGCGACTCGTGCAATGGAGAAATATGAAAAATCGCAGGAGGAGCCAGGCAAGTTGCGGCAGCTTGTCTTCACGGTGATCGGTGAGTTAAAAAGGGAAAAAGTACTCCCTTTTTTTTCTATTCTCCCAACAATATACTTTGTGACGGATTGACTTCTTCCAATAAGCAATACTTGAGCAGCAAATGCTAGAACTCCATGGTTGAAAACTTTCGATAACGAACGATAGCCCTTAAAAAAAATAGAAAAATTAGAAGAAAAATATAAAAAACAAAAAAATACAAGTTAAAAACAACAAAATAAACAGATAAGAAATTAAATGCATTTAATATAAAAATCAATAAATTCAAATAATATAAGAGCTAATGAGAACCAAGCGCAATAATTAAAATGCAATTAAGTATTTTTGAAAATTATTCTTTAATTGTCAGATATTTCGGACCTTTCTTTTGAACCAGCTTCAATGAGAATTAGCACAAAAAAAGAAATTAACATTATAACGATGGCAGAAAATGAAAAAATTATAAATAATGATTAAAATACATACGAAAATGAAAAAAATATACCGTGTTTTCATACTCAACGGATTATTTATCTCTTTCGGATTATTTATCTCTTTATAGCTACAATATATTATAGTTATAATATAATTATTAATAGTTATATTATAGCTATGTTATAAAAAAAAAAAGGAATTTCGATATTTAATTTGAATTTAAATATATGATAAGTCCATTAATTATTATTAATAGTTATATTATAGCTATGTTATAATAATTAATGAAGGACTTATCATATATTTAAATTCAAATTAAATATCGAAATTCTTTTTTTTTTGAAAAAAAAAAAAAGGAATTTCGATATTTAATTTGAATTTAAATATAGGATAAGTCCTTCATTAATTATTAGAACATAGCTATAATATAACTATTAATAATTATATTATAACTATAATATATTGTAACTATAAAGAGATAAATAATCTGAAATGATTTGATAAAAAAGCTGCAAATATCATGTAAAAAATTGTTTTGAATAAAAAATAAAGAAAAAAGAAAAAAATTTTTAATCTTTTAATATTTATAATCTTATATCTTTCAATATTTATAATCTATTCATTTTTTCATCGTTATAATATTAATAGAATACAATAAAAAGACAAAAATAACCACTGCGCAAAGTTGGACGTAGCATAAAATAATTCGAAAAAATGTTCTATAGATAGAGTCATGATTATATAATTAAATACGAAAATATGAAAATTATTAAATATGATAATATTAAATATGAAAATCAAAAGGTGAAATTAGTAACAAAGGAGTCAAAGAGACACTAATGATTATTATTATAATGCAGACAAAAGATCAAAAATAAAAACGAATATTTACAAATTAAGAATTCAAAAATAACGAAATATTGATATGACAGAAATTAATTAGAAGAGAATTGCAAATAATTATGAGTTTGAAAAAATGCTGACATTACATAATAAAAATTAACAAAAATATATACCTTTTAATTTTCATATGTATTTAATTATATAATCATGACTCTATAGAGTATTTTTTCGAATTATTTTATGACGTCCAACTTTGCGCAGTGTTTTTTTTGCCTTTTTATTGTAATCTATTGATTGCTTCCTACAAACCACTATCATTATATTCATTGTTATAATATTATTGTTTTTGTCTTAGTTTTCACTGAAAAAGATCCAAAAGAAGAACCGAAATGTTTGACAATTAAAGAATAATTTTAAAAATAGCAATTAATGTACTATGCTTCAATTACTATACTTAATCCTTTGATCCTATATATTACTATACTTAATCCTTAATTTATTAACAAATTGAAAAATTTTATAAATATATTTCTAAACAACTAATAGTTAGCTAAATAACATTAAAACTCTAAAATATTTATTTCAAGAACCTCTTTGATTAAAAAGTCTCTATTAGATCTTTGTGTTGATTATTTCATATTGAATAATCATATACTCTTCGCAGCAAATTTGTCAGCGGTGTCCTATGGATTCATGGTGGGATGGCAATCACCGTCAGCTCTGCAACTGCAGAATCCGTCATCGCCAGCTGTAGGAAGCGAACCTATGACGGATAACGCTATATCCTGGATGAGTGCCACTTTAACCTTGGCAGGCACCATCACGACTATGCTACTTTCGGTGATACCTGACAAATTCAGCCGTAAAAAATTCGGTTACGTATTAACGTTGCCGATGATACTCGCCTGGCTGTTAATCATTGTCGCCACCAAACACATACATATTTATATAGCGAAAGCCCTGTGTGGTATCGCTGGCGCCGGTGTATTTTTTATGGTGCCGAACTATGTGTCGGAGATCTCATGCGACAGCATCCGCGGTATATTAGCAAGTCTGATAGGATTCTGGTTCAATTTTGGAATTCTGCTGGCTTACATCTTAGGCGGCATGATGTCTCTGCACTCTCTCGGTGTAATTGGCGCGATTTTGAGCGCTTTATTCCTCATAGCTTTCATCTTCATACCAGAATCGCCAGTCTATTTAATGCGTGGAAATCACACGCGCGAAGCAATTAGGTAAGCAGGCTGAGAAAAGAGATATTTTCTTTAAAAACATCATGACAGAATTGTTTATGCGCTATTTTAGATCATTAAATTCGTTGAAAGCTGGAAATACAGTGGCAGTAGAACAGACATTGTCGCATCTACAGTTGCAAATGAAGGAAGCCTCGTCCACAGGGTCCGCCAAGCTGTCAGATTTATTTAGAGACACAGCGTCGATTAAAGGATTAATCATTACCTTGGGTTTGTTCATCGGTCAACAATTTGGCGGAATTTTTGCGATGGTAATCATTGATAATTATTTACAAATTCTTTATATTAAATTATTATCTCTATTGAAATATTATCTATATCAAATTATTATCTCAATTAAATTATTATCTCTGATAAATTCACTTAAAAACTGTTTTAACTCATAAAAAATAAAAACATATGATTTAATTTCACAACAAAAAAATTTTTTTGTCAAAATCAAATCTGAAAAATTTAAATCATTTACGGCCCGGTTGCACCAACATTATTTTAGCTTAAGCGAAACTTAAATATATGTTTCTTTATTTATTTAGAAAGAAAGATAAAGATAGACATATATTTAAGTCTCGCTTAAAGCTGAAATAATGTTGGTACAACCAAGGCCTTAGTGATTTGAGCCATTTTTTTGTTTTTCTCAATTATTATTGATTTAATATATTATATATTAACACAACTTTTTTTTATCTATTCTATATCCACAACAAAAATTCTCATTCTTATAAAATAATTGAATATTTCTGATTTTTCCATTCAGCTCAGTTACACAGAGAGTATTTTCAAAATGTCTGGCAGTTCGTTATCGTCGAACACATCGTCCATTATTGTAGGAGCTATATTGCTCCTTGGTGCGTGTCTGTCGACATCTTTAATAGAGCGAATGGGTAGACGGCCTTTGGTTCTGATATCCTGCATAGGAATGTTTGTGTGTCATTGTGTAGTCGGCACGTACTGCTATCTCCAAAGCCTACAATATGATGTGTCCGCTTATGGTTGGGTACCAGTCACAGCACTATCTATTTTCATGGTGGTGTATGCTCTGGGAATGGGCAATGCACCCGTCATAATAATGTCCGAGATATTCGAGCGCGATATAACTAGTATAGCCTCGGCTGTGGGTCTCACTGTATCCTGGGCCGCAGCTTCCGTCATAGTGAAGATCTTCGCCGATCTCATCGCTCTATTAGGTATGCACGGCTGCTTCTTCCTCCTCGCCATCTGTTGCGTCTGCACTTTCTTCTTCTGCCTTGTAATGGTACCAGAAACTAAAGGACGAACACGTGAAGATATTGTGGGCGAGCTCAATGGAGGTATGCAGTATAAAAAGAACAAGAAGAATATTAAGCATATCATCGGAACGGATTCAGTGGAGGCTGCTCACGTGTAAAAAATGTTATCCACATGTATAAAGTCTAAAAACATTCTAGCAGAAACATTTATGAAAAACTGACATTTTATTATTCCTAGTGTTTTTAAATACGAATTTCTGTATATATATATATATATATATATATATATATATATATATATATACATCCTGTACATACTTTTATAAAAAAGTATATGCTGTCAGTTTCTTAAAGATCACTTCCTATATTGAACACATGTACAATTATTATAATAATTTTTATTTATCTTTATATTGCGCACATATTTATTCGCTATTTAAAATTTGTTTATCTATTTTAAATATTTATTTCATATAAGTTATGCATGTGCAATGTTTATCTATGACTTGACGTACCACGTAAAAACAAATTAAATGTATAAATTGCTTCGTATAATTGTAATGACTTGTGTGTGAGAGGAAATGAGTCTCACGTGTATTTCAACTGATTCATTTAATGTCTCGTGAAATTTTATTAATATTAAATATGGCAGAATAATACGCAACACGTCATATATTATCTCGTAGATGTGCTTTAGAAATGCGCATTTGGCAACATCAGTATCAGTTAATATATATAGATATATAATGTATGATGTAATGTTAACTGCTGATACTGATGTTGATAATATTCAGGTGATAATGGAAACAAGACTATAAATTAATTATTAAACAATGATGCAAACAAGATTGTGAATAGCAATATATACTCGTTAAAGATAAGAACAAAAGTTGTGTATAAAAAATATGTATATATTCAATTAATATTCTATTCTTATACACATACACACAAAATATATATATATATATATATATATATATATATATATATATATATACACCATGTTGATAATTCTTGTTATATTAATTTGATCTCTCAGATAGTTAAATGTATTAACAAAAATTAAAGAATAAATATTATTGATAAGAATCAAGACTTTTATATAGAAAATACAGAATCAGATATTTTTACTTACAATCGAAATTATATTAATATATATACATATATAAAACATCAATTTTTCTACATACCTGTGTATAGTTAAGCATGTGTAAATGAAGAACTTATTATTCTTATATGCAAACTTTTAGTCCACAAATATGGCTGGATATTTATCCATGCGAATTCATATCCATATTCAACAAACATTTTAATAATTAAATGAAAATATATACAAAAATATCATATTCAGAAAGACTTCTGACATTAATCATCAGTCGTTCTTTTACGCACGTTCTTGTTACCAATTTTTCTCCTTTTAAAAGTGGTCGGTGTACTCTCGTCATCACTATTATCGATCTTGATCTGTGTGATCGTTTTTTCCTTAAAAATCCTTTGCGGAGGCGGTGGTTCTATCTTCTCAAACACAGACAGTTGTATCTGCTTCTGCTTCTGTGGCAATTGGAGATCCACTGGTTTCTTTTGGCTAAAACACAAAATATTTCTGCTTTTTTCTCTGTATGTAGAATTGCCCAATCTTCGAATGTGAAGATAATTATAATATACAAATAAATGATATCTACTGTTATGCATCGTCCATTAGTTAGTAAAACAATATAGTTTAAATTCCATAGCAATTTTTATTTTTAGATTACGAACTTTTTTCATTTTCGATCATTATATAAATATAAAGAAATATATACATATATATATAAATCAGTATCTTTGTATATATTAATTTAACTTTAAATTAAAATTAACTTTTAATTAAAATTATGCATTTAATTAAAAAAAAATCTATATATGTATTTTATATATAAACATTTGAAAATTAAAAGCAAAGATTCATCGTCGCGCGATAAATCCTCGCGAAAAATGTCTTAATCCATCTTGGCGGAATAATGTAACGTTCAAATATTTACATTGTCTCTACAACTTGCCAGGATCCATAAGGTTGCGGCCTCTCAGGCACACTGTAGTCTCGCAAGTAAGGTCGTTCCTCTTTGGCCATCTCCTTCTTTATTTCTACGCTTTCATCGTCATCTTTGATATCGTTGTCGCTTCTAACAAGTGTTCCACGTTCTCTCATTTTCTCCCTCTCAAGATTGGCTCGTCGTTCCTCGAGAATATCCGCTTTCTTGATTGCTTCCTCCTTGTCCAATTGTTCTATAAGCTCCTTCTGGAGCGCCTCCTCTTTCGCCTCCTCTTCTTGTTCCGCAAGAGTCATGTAACCCTCTTCCGGTGGCTCCCAAACCGATTCTAATATGTACCAAATAATGTGCTCCATAACAGATAATTGAGGTTTCTCGTATCAAGAATTCAATAATGTGTGATGCAATAATAGTTTAAAGTGATAATAATATTTTAAAATTTAAATATTATCTAAAATAAACAATTTTTAAATACAAAACAATATAAAATATAAAAAAATTCTGTAAAATAAATTGAAAGAGAAACTCGAAATTGCATAATAAAAAACAAAATAATAATAAACTTAGCATATAAACTTCATATTACAATTACTTATTTATAAAGCTTGTTATTCGGATTGAGGGAGAATAAGACATAATACAACAGTACTGCCCAACGGAATCAAATATTCAAAAGGCAGAAGAACGGGCAAAAAGATAAAAAAAATTTGACAAAGGTATACGCACCGTTCGTCTCGATATGCCAGTAGTAAGTGTATCCTTCGGGACTGAGAGCTTCGTACCACAGTTTTCTGACAGGTGCGGTCGGACGATCGTCCTCCTGGGCCTTCCTCCCCTTTCCCTTCGTCTTGTTCGCTTTACTCCTCCCCGGAGTCCTGTTCTCGCCGCCTTGCTGTTGAACTCGTGGAAGCGATGGAGCGCTTTTTGACAAAGTCGGATCGCAAGGATCCACTTTTGGCGAAAACTAAAAAATTGCAATTATATTAATAACTTTCATTCTATTATAGATTATCATTCTATTATAGATTTCATTATATTATAGATTCATTTTATTATAGATTAATTTTATTTATAGACATGGTGTATAGTTGAGAGAATCTAGTCTTTTCATAAAATACTTTTGAGTCTGTGAATAAAAATGATAACTGACTATTTTGCATGATCATTACAATTGAATAATTAGAAAGGTTGATTCGATTTTTTACTCACCTGTTCAGTATTACTTTTGAATCTCGGTACCGTCTCCGGAGCGGCTGGTGGCATGCGATTAAAATTTTGAGGTGTCTAAAAATATATATATGAAATATGTTAGATAAAATATATTAATTTCCAAATATAAATATATTACTTCGGATTATTAGACTCCGTTGCATTTAATGCAGTAAATAAATTATTCTAATTTAGTGCAATAAATAAAAATACAATTCTTATCTTCGTATAATTCGTATAAAAATATTCATTATATCTAATATTATTAATTTAATTTCTTATATCTAACGTTGTTAATCCAATCTTTCTCTTAACGTAATATTTAAAATTAAATATTAAATATTAAAAAATATAAGAATATATACTTCTCTCGTTTCAATCTTGTTCAGTTTCTCTTTAATAATATTTTGAGCAGTCATATCTCGCGTGTTATTCTCGACATCCTTCAAGTATGCAGCCATAGCCGCCTGTGCGAAAAAAATAAATGATTATGTCATCATTAATATCTAATATCAATGACCGTAGTGCAAATATAAAGACGTACATTTTCCATCTTTTTAAGATCATCTTCGAATTTTTTGTTCTGCTTCGCCTGTTTGGCACTATTCTTGTGAATTTCTTTGAGTCGCTTGCTGACATTTTCCTTATGTTTCTTGCCACCCTCGTGGAAGTCGATACTCGGTTTATTATCGGCGATCCAGCATTTGCAGAAGTCGCAGAACTTGCGGCCTTGAGACTTCCAATAATCTGCCCTGCAATCCGTTATCGTACAAGGGTGACATAAATATCATACGGAATCGACATAAGATAAGATGTGTCAAATTGTGTGTGAATTTAATACGTTAAATATAACATTCTTCTTATGCTCATTTATAACAAGCTACGTTCTTAAAAAAGTTTTTCTCATATCAGTCTAAATCTTTTATGAAATCTTATCAATATTACTTGTAAGAAAAGATTTATATTTTTGTAAATCCTGCGACTAAAATACATATGATTCGAAATAGTCGAAAAAGTTCTATTTTTGTCGGGACATCGATTGATGAAATAAATTATTCAATTGTGTAGTTCTTGCTATCTTTCCGTAACAATTATTGGAGGAAACACGAACGATGTTACTCGAGGTCTAGGAGAAATATTTTCTCGTTCGTACCGAGATGAGAACAAATTAGTTGGCAATTAGTCTCCGACCTACGCAGCCTTGAGCGTCACTCGACCTTCGTATTACATCTTAGTTGAGACTAAAGGATTTCCAAGGAGCTCAACGGGGATTCGAAAAATCGTCGAGATTTACGACTGACATGGCAACTAACGACAATATACATGTGTATGTATCTCTAGAGTGTTTCTCTTTTATCTTATTTTCAGTAATTTAAATTAAATAATAATGAAAATTAGATAATGAAAGTAAAGCGCGAGAAAATTTGGATAAATTATCAGGCATCTTCAAGAATCTTTTCCCTTCTTTCTTTCTCTTATAAATTTTGTTGGAAGATATTCGAATTTTCGCGACTTTATTTTACGCGCGTTACATTTCGTGCATTTGCTTAAACGAACTTTTGCATCGCCGTCTGATTCACGTTAAACTCAGCATGCAAATAAATTCCGATGGAAATGTCGTAGTTGGAGGAACATCGAACACATTCTTGGGAAAATTGAGCTTCAATTAGAAGCAGCCAATTAGAAGCAAAACTACGTCTAATTATTACCAGAAGAAGAATTCAGGTCGGGAACCGAGTTAAAAGTGTTCCGTAATTTTGCCAAGGTGTGTGCGAACGCGGATATTTTTAGATGGGAATTATTCTTAATCTTGATCAAATTCATTAAATTATGTATCACATTCAAATTGCGGTAGTACTCTTTATTCATGTCTATCATATATAATCATGTAAACTTTAATTTATAAAAATTTTAAGAGAAAACTTTCAAACTATCAAGATTTCAAATCTTTTTCATGTTTTTAGGATATTAATTTCGAAACTAATCAGTTTCAGTTAATAAAAAATTATATCTTAATTATATCTTTCATATAAATGCAATTAAATCCTAAACAAAAATTAAAAACATAAGCTACATTTATTAATTGCATAATAAATATTTAGCATCATGCTTTATAATGAAAAAAAATGGAATGAAATGAAATGGTAGAAATTACGCGATCCCATTAACCCACATCAATCTTCGGCAGCTAAACAAATTAATTTATTCCATTTGTTTTTTTTGCCGAGTTATCCGACGAAGAATTACATGAATAAAGTTGCAACCTGTTGCTATTAAAAGATTTTGTCGCGGAAATTCGTTTTGACAGTAAACGTATCTAAAGTAAAGGTATTCGTTTCTATTATAAATATTCCTTGTGCTGAGCTCTATTAATATTTTATCGATGTTTTTTGATTGATTTTATACACAATTCAATTCAACTCTATCGAAGAAACAGTAATACAAGCAACATTAAAGTCAAATGTAGATGATAATAAGCAGTATAAGATTTTAAAAAACTTTCTTTTATTATTTTCTTATAAAAAATAAAAACTTTTTTTATATCTATTTTTAAAAATAATAGTCATGCAATTTTTTTTGTCGATTGTCAAAATCTTTATGAATAATAATTACAAGAAATCTGATTAAATGTCAATCTTATTTAAATGTATTTTGATGACTGTATTATTACGAAGAGATTTTGATGATAATTTTTGAACTGTGTACGTAAAAGTCACATCATGCTATGATGAATTTTGGTATTTGTACCAGATAAATAGACTTCGCTTGAGGCGAATCAATGAACATTTATCAAATTATTGTGGATATCTCAAGAGTGGATTAATCCCTGAGGCGTAAATCGATTACAATGTTTCATTGCGATATTATCCTAAGATTAACAACAACTGTACCTAAATCACGTTTCTTGTTATCTATTAAAGGGATACGAACCGTATTAAACGCAAATTTTATATATAATTGCATAAAATTATCATTACTAATATAAATAAATTAATATAAATAAAATATAAATAGGTTATTAATATAAATAAAAAGAGACATAAGTTTTTCGCCATCATTCCCTTCAAATATACACCCAAAAATTTATGTCATAATAACATTACGATAATTTTTAGTAATTTCGCAATCATTTTTTTTTTTAATTTTTATTTAATAAACCTAAATTATTAAAATTTTTGCTAAATTCAGGTATTGTTCTATTTATTTTCTCATCTTTGACAGGAATCTGAAACTTTGACCGGTTAATGAGCAATTCCGAACACGCGGCACAACGTGGCATGAAATAATCATCCCGCAGATGAATTAGAGCGATGTTAGGGCGAAATTAGGCAAGATCAATACATAAGGTTTCAAGGCACACGGCCATTGGCCGATTTCCAATGTAAAAATATCCCTCCTTTGGCGACCCTCCGTCATCCCCCGAGTCGGCGGCCTATCGCATCTATCATGCACCGTTGCTTTCACGTGCATGACTTAGACTGATGTACACGTACATACGTATGCGCAGGCTGTCAAACGTGTCACCGTAAATCCGCTTTCATGCGGATGTGGCCTGCGTGCATTGTTGCAGCGCAACAGGTTCCCGATATGCGTTCAACGGATATAAATCAACGATCGTCAAAACGCACATTCGGAATTTATAGGCATAAATCTAAATAGCCGCGTGTGCGATGAATACGCGCGTGGTCATTAATATCGCGTCTTGTGCCGTTATTTAATAAAATTATGTAAGACCTTCTCGATATATAATAAATCAATATCAAACTCTTGATATCTTAGAGACGCTTAGCTCTCCCTGTTTTGCAATTTAATTATAATTTTCGCGTCGAGATGAAGCCCACAATCTTAGCGCGTTCATTCATTTTACTAAAGAACAGATGTTCCGCAATTATTCCGCTTAGATTACCGTATCAAGTTCGGAGAACGAAATCGCTATTGCCTGTAACAGAATCACCGTGATCTTATTGTACGGATCGCGGCACGGCTCCCGCAAAGTACGCTAATGATGCGCATCCATAAGCAGCTTGCGGATAACGAAGCAAGTCTAGTTCTACATATAGTCTATATATATAGAACGCGGCGAGTCACTATTAATACGAGCTATTATTAATAGAGGCGCTCGTCGGGACAGTTGTGTGCGCGATTCCCCATCCCCTCGGAGAATCGCGTCGCACTATTATTCGCGTCGGCCAAATAACCACACATAAATGACAATAGACAATTTGCCAACGTGTCTCCTCTTCAACATTCGTCATCCTCGCTTCCTTGTATTATGTCAGACTGAAATTGTCGACGCACATTGCTAATATTTCCACCTCAATCTTACTTCACCTTTTCAAGATATATTGAAAATTTATAAATTTCAAGATATATTGAAAATTTATAAATTTATAGATTTATAATCAGTAGAAATCACGCGTGTTTTTGCCTAATAAATTAAAGAATATTTCATTAAATAATAATTTCGTTAAATAATAAAATGGATAAATCTTGTCAATTCGTTATTTTTCTTATGAGACATGAGTAAAGTAATGATAAAATAATTGTCATTAAATAATAATTTTGTTAAATAATAAAATAGATAAATCTTGTCATTTCGTTATTTTTCTTATGAGACATGAGTAAAGTAATGATAAAATAATTGTCACATGCAGGTAAATAATATTGTGTCACGTAAAGATAACACGGTGGTCTCTAAATAAAATCTGAGGCACATATTCTTGCCGATTGCGTTGAATTTATTGGCGATTACGTTGTGGTGCTTCCGCCTTGGCCAACAACAATTTGGACGAAGCATCGCTCGAATTTATCAGGCGAAAACAATGATTTTATATATCCGATGCTATTCATGTGCTCGTGCTTATACATGCCGTTGGTTGCCGACAATGCCGAGATTGTGCCCTTGATTCGGCCGTTGCGATGCACATTTACGTCCATTATGCGCATAGTTATTTTAAAGTGACGCCGTTCTTCGTTTATAAATGAACCGACCAAGTGTAATCGGCGCTTCAGAATAGCTTCTTCTTTTCGATTATATAAATATCCCGAAGGCGATAATAATAATACGAAATAAAAAATAATATACGTAATTAAAAACGTAATAAATCGATAAAATATTAAACTAAGGCTACCAATATCATCTTGTAATGAACGATATCAAAGATCATATATTTCAAATCATGCCTGACCAAAATAAGGGCGACATTTTACAGGATACGATATTTTTTCGGAGCCTATGCCTAATGGCTCTTGAGAGATAAATCGGCGCAAGAAATAAATGGAAGCTCGCTCGCTTAGTTACTTCCAAGTGAACAATGTCGGCTCCGAAACAATCGGCGAGAAGATAAATCGCGTTTTCTTGCGATTGTACGTTAGACCATGCGAGTTTTCGCGAGGAAAAATTAGTTTTTATTCTAACACTCGGTAAGGTCGGGAAATCCAGTTATGCTTAAAGTTTGAAGGCGAATCTCGTACTGTCAAAAAACGCCACGAAATTCAGAGCACGGTAGCCGTAAATTATGCAAATGACATTGTCGGTTCCACAAAAAAAAGTACTTCTCCCGAATAACCCCTATAAATTTCGCTATGCGCCATCGTTATCGAATTTCGCATAAATTTTAACGAGTAAAAACTATATTTTATTTTTTCATTTTACGAAGTGATATCCAAGAGTAATTCGGAAAGAGATGAGTTTGTAAATCGTATAAAACGTTATTTTAACCATTATTTACATTTCATCGTATTCATTTTT